AGTGGTACCTCGGTTTATGAACTTAATCCATTCCGGAAGTTCGTTCTTAAACCAAAACCGTTCTTAAACTGAGGCGCGCTTTCCCTAATGAGGCCTCCCGCGGCCGGTGCCCTTCCACTGTTCGGATTCCATTCTTAGACCAAGGTAAAGTTCTCAAACCAAGACACTATTTCCGGTTTTGCGGAGTTTGTAAACCAAATCATTCTTAAACTGGGCTGTTCTTAAACCATGGTACCACTGCACTATTTAAAATAAAATAACAACATATTCAAAACATTTCAAAACAATTTAAAAGCCATCTAGAAATTATATACCCTCACAGTTACTAATTTCAAAGTTGCCATGGCTTTCCTTCAGCCACCAAATGCCTGGGTAAATAGAAATGTTTTAAAAATTTTCCTGTAAAGGAATTCATGAATTCATAATACATACACTTCAATGATGCTACACTAAATCATCACTAGGTGGCAGTCCAAGGCCAACTAAATACTGTACAGTGGTACCTCGGGTTAAGTACTTAATTCGTTCCGGAGGTCCGTTCTTAACCTGAAACTGTTCTTAACCTGAGACACCACTTTAGCTAATGGGGCCTCCAGCTGCCGCCGCGCCATTGGAGCACGATTTCTGTTCTCATCCTGAAGCAAAGTTCTTAACCCAAGGTAATATTTCTGGGTTAGCGGAGTCTGTAACCTGAAGCGTAAGTAACCCGAGGTACCACTGTATTTGAAAAACCCTAATAATCAAAACTGCAGCTTACACCAAAATGCCTAAAAAGATACACTCATTTTCTGACTGTATCCTGTTCTTGATCTATGAATAAATAATAATACAGTGGTGCCCCGCAAGACGAATGCCTCGCAAGACGAAAAACTCGTTAGACGAAAGAGTTTTCCGTTTTTTGAGTCGTTCCGCAAGACGAATTTCCCTATGGGCTTGCTTCGCAAGACGAAACGTCTTGCGAGTTCTTGCGAGTTTGTTTCCTTTTTCTTAAAGCCGCTAAGCCGTTAATAGCCGCTAAGCCGCTAATAGCCGTGCTTCGCAAGACGAAGAGACTCGCGGAACGGATTAATTTCGTCTTGCGAGGCACCACTGTATTGGTGAAATGCTCTTTTGAACCTTCTAAAGGTGTTATTGGTATAGCAGGGGTGAGGAACTAGACTGAGTCATAGGAATGGATCCAGAAGTGGCCCACTCTCCAAGGTGCCACTTCTGAGACATTTGGGGGGGGGAATCCATCCACCTGACAATCACCTGACATCAGGCAACACTAAACTCAGGCTGCAGGAACAGGCTTATCTCCAATACTAGAGCTATTATGTGCTTGCTCCTTGAGAGTACAAGGTGGCAGCAGAGGCTTACCTATAACTAAGTGCTTGAATTGGATTTAACAGATCACAGCACCTGACATCATTTGACACTGAGTAACTACCAGGTGGATGTGGTTTGCGAATATGGCCCACAAGCCAAAATCAGATAACTAATTAGGCCCACGGGATGGAAGTTCCCCACTACTGTGCTAGAGGATATTCATTTTTTGTATAAATTTAACAACCCCATTTAGCCGCTTTGCTCTAATGTTATTATTGCTTCACTGTTTTTTATTGCATTTCCACAATGGACTCGTTTGCATGTCACACCATGGTTTAATGTGAACACAGGAGTGTGTAATCTCCTGGACAAGGGAACCCAGCCACTTTGCTACTGCGCAATGTTGAGCTAAGCCATCTGAACCTGCATTCATTCTTGGATAAAACCTATGGTGAGAGCTAAACCACTGGTCAAACCATGGCATAGGTCAGCACAGCAACAAAACTGGGTGGGAGAGAAGTGGCTGGGATCTCTTCTCCAAGTGTTTGCACATTTGCACTATGCCATGATTTGATTTGGCTTAGTGTGACATGTGAAGCAGGTCAGTAAGTCATTTTAAATGTTCTATTATTCAGTAATGTTGAACTACCAAATGCAACTGTTGGAGAGTTATAGGAGACAATCATCTGCCATATTCTATAACAGACCATGAGACCAGTCAAAAATGTTTTATTGCAACCATGTCTGTAATCACAAAAGCTTGTATCCCAACTTTCCTTTGTGGTTTTATTTAGAACAAAGCTCAGAGAGAATGGTAACAATGGCATTTTTAGAGAGCAACCAGTCCACTTCAGCAATTTATTTCAGCAATAAAGAGATTAACATTTTGAGAATATTATCAAAACTTGAAAAATTTCAAATAAGCATTACTGTTTGCATATTGTAAATTGCTATTGCTTTCCTATAGTCACCTACAAGGCAATATTGATCAATCTTTTACTCAGAATAAGTTCCATTGTATCCAGTGGAATTTACTCTTTAGTAAGTGTGTTGAGGATTATAGGCCTATAGAGTTAATGGATAAGGTGAACAAGAGTTGTCTTAATTCACAATTCAAATGCTTAACCATTACACTTAGTAGGATCTGGTGACAACATCCCAATCATCAGTTGTACATACTAAAAGGAAGAGCTCATACCTTTAAATTTTTCAAGCGCCGTCTCTCTCAATGACAGGTCTCCATGCATTGATCTGAGAGAATTAATCAACTCCTGTATTTCCTGACTCTCTGAAAAGGTCTCAAGTATGTTTCCCTTGGCGATGACATCAGACTCCAGGCATCTGCTATCCTCTTGCTCAGACCCATCTCCGTTCATCTCATTTAAAACCATCTTCAGCTCGTGAAAAATTCTTCTCTAGGCAAAGGCACAGCAAACCAGCATTTACCATTACAGTTAAATCCCACAATTAATGTTACAACCCTATACTGAGCTTCCTGAAAGCAAGACCCATTGAATTCAATGGGGAATTCTTCCAAGTAGACTTGTGTACAACTACGCTGCAAATTTGCCTTGCATGATGGAGGCAATCCAAGTGCACATAAGAGAACTGCACTTAAGCTCAATTATTTTCAGTGGGCTTAAATCTGTGCTGGCCTGTGTCCGTTCTTTCCCCATAGAAAAATAACGGGACAGTGTATAAAAGGGATTTCCTTCCCTTGCTATATACATCTCTTGTTCCACACGCAATTTAACAAGAGCCCGTTCTCCCATCTCTTCCAAATCCCATCCGCTTCCAGAGGATACGTTTCTATCTTGACAGGGATGGAAAGAAGGTTAGTTCAGCTTTTAAAATATAAATAAGGCCTTGATGCAGTATAGCTGTATGCATGCCATGAGGATTGCTCGGGAATGCACTGTTCCTTTGCAAATAAAAATGTATAGCGATTGAAGCTGCGTTCAAGCCCAGCGGGGAAGCTACACCCCTGAACCTGGAATCCTTCCCTTTAACCCCCGACCTATTACCAGGGCTTTTGTTGCCATACTGAAAGAGAGTTAATACTGTGCATTCGTTTTTCAGGGCTGAGGCAGGGGAAAGCACTTCGCACGAACTCATGAGAACATGAGAACTCCGCCTTTTGCCGCCTTAATTGAGGTGCAAGGCTGAGGCTGAGGGCGGTTTTTTAACATTTGCAGCCGAGCCGCGCACCGCCCTCCTTCCCCGGGGCCTGGCGTCCAAGACACCCCCCCCCCGGGCGACCTTATCGCGAGAGAGCCTTTTCCCAAGGCGGCTCGCCATCTCGCCCTGAAGGCCCTGGCCCTACCCTCGCCTCGCCCAGGCTCCTGCGAACCACGGAAAGCCCCGAGCCAAGCTCAGCGCCTCTCCCACAACAGCTCGCCGCTTGCAAGATTTACCTTTCGTCGTTGGCGCCTGCGCTCAGAAGAGGCCTCTCCAGGTACGGCTCCTCGCGCGGGACAGAAGGGCTCGGTGGACGTCCGCGCCTGGGCTGCGAAAAGGGGAGGAGCCCGGCAGCAGAGGGAGGGCGGGCAAGGAAGGGGAAAGGGGATTGGCTGGGAAGGAGGCAAGCGCCCGGCTGTGTGCGTTTTATCTTTCTTTGGCAGGGACGGGATGTAGGTGTGTGTGTTTTTTTGGTGGAGCTACATCGCGGGAAAGTCTTGCTTTAAACGCCAAGGCAAAGAAGAGCTGCTTGTCCTGGGCTGTGCAGGAGGCGTTTCCTTGGATGCTAGATTGCTGGTTATAAACCGCGAAATAATAATAATAAGAGTCTGTAAAAAGCATAAAAGGTGCATGAGCCGCCCTGGGAGTTTTAAAAACAGATGTGCAGGATATAAATGTGCCGGATTGGAAACACTGTTGAGGTGCAGGAAACGAAGACCCCGCAGTAGAACGACATTGTCATTTATTGTTGTTGTTGATCGCAGAACTTTTGCAGCAAAAACAACGGTGGAAAAGGAAAACTAAAAAAATACTGCCAGTCATAATCATGTACCACAGATCTGAAAATGACCTCAGACTTCTAATCCATCGAAATCACAATTCCCGGTGAAAGTCCAGTTTCTTGAGGTTAGCAGGCGGGAAAAAGAAATCAGTGTTTGGACAGGTGTTGAATGTTTCAGTAATAAAAATCCCTGCATTGGTGTGTGTCTGTTATGTCCTTTTTTCCAAAACTAATAAAATCATGCCTTATCTGGCCAAAAATATCTATTTACTTGTTCTCTAAGGAACCGGGTTGTTTGCATCATTACCAATGCTAAGAATCACATTTTGTGGTACTCAATTGTAGCTCCTTTCAGATCTTTACAGTGCTTAACTAATGTAAACCATACTGTACTGCCATCAGGTGTCCTGCAGGTCCCTATGCTTATCTGTAAACAGATTTGAGACTATTGTTTCCATGTTTTTTATCCTGCTTATCCTCCAAGAAACTCAGGACAATATGCATCATTCTCTTCCCACACCACTTTTCATCTACATAACAACCCTGAGATATAGATATGTTGATTGGCTTGAGATCACCCATAAAGTGAGCTTCATGGCTAGAGAAAGGATGGTTTGGTTGCAATCTGCAATTGTCAATGGTGAGGGGATACATGCTCATAATTATTTTTCCAGTCTCACAACTATGTTGAACCCACTCTCACTTATTTGCTGATAGCAATTATAGTTACAAATTCTGTGTGCAATGACAACATTTTATTTGGATTGCATATTACATACATAGTTAGTGTAGCACAGCAATTTTCATTCAAATTCTGTATACTTAAAAAGTGAGCTTGCTAAGCCTTTGATCACTTGACAGCTTTAATTTCCACTTTCCTATCATAAATGAGGATTGCTCAAACATTCCATTTAACCCAGAATGATGATTCTCACACTATCACAAAATTGAAAAAAAAATTACTTTGAAATTCTACATGCTACATGTCCTGCGCTATGAAAATGCACATCATGGGTAAAGCATGCCAAACAATGATACCTAATGTTTATTTCAGTACATGCATACCTCATTTTATTGCACGTCACAGATACAGTATTGCTCTTTTAAAAAATTAGGAAGCAAGCCCCCTGCTGCCATCACTGGAGCTGGGTTTCTCCCCTCCCACCCATGCAGCCAAGGGGGAGGGGCTGGGTCAATAGACTACACTATAGTGAAAAGGTAACTTTTCACAGGGAAACCAACAAAAAAGCGACTCACTTTATTGCAATATTCGCTTTATTGTGGTGGGCTGGAACCGAACCAGCAATATCTCTGAGGTATGCCTGTACTCACTTACTTTCTTTATTATTTCATTATGTACAATAACCAGGGCAGACAACCCTAACACTAAAACAAAATAAGCACGCTTTGAAATACTTCTAACATGTTCCAGTCACTTGCAGTTGTATGTAAGGAATGCAATTTATTGACCCAATCCTTTTAACATTTTTGAGTTTATCCGTGTAATGCAATCCCATTTTTTAATTCAGCAGTAACTCCCACTGTGTTTGGTGATATTGGATTCCAGTTCCCATTAGACCCAGCCAGCACAGCTAGTGATCAAGGATGATGGAAGGTGTAGTTCAGCACCCTCTGGAAGGCCACAGTGGCTTCCCCATCACTGTTGTCAACCTGCAGCCTTATCCGTATTAAACTGGTTTTTAAAAAGGAAGAAGAAATTAGTGTTATAGTACTAGGACTACAGCTGCAGTGTTGGCAATCTGCTGGCTCCTGAAAACATACCTGTTTAGGCAAGGATTCCCTTGAATTAAAGTTGATATTTTATTGCTTTAACTGTTTTCTGTTTAATTATTTGTTTTGTTGTCTATTTTAATCACGAATGTACCGAGGGCCTTCTTGGTAGTGGCGCCCACCCTGTAGAACACTCTCTCACCAGATGTCAAGGAAATAAACAACTATCTGACTTTTGGAGGACATCTGAAGGCAGCCCTGTTTTTAATGTTTGATGTTTTATTGTGTTTTTAATATCCTGTTGGAAGCCACCCAGAGTGGCTGGGGAGGCCCTGCCAGATGGGCGGGATATAAATTATTATTATTATTATTAATGTTGTTATTTATTTTAAACTGTTTGAGCAAGGGAGTCATTACATCCACACAAGCTGGTGTACATGTTTACACGGGCTCTCAGGTTTGCAGTCTTTGTTGATATCCAGTTGTGACATCCCACTTGCCCAACAGTCTTCCATTTGTGCAAACGGAATGACTCCATCATTCTCCCCTCCCCCACCCTTCTGCTCCTGTATCCCCACAAAATAAAGTTGTGGGACCCTCCTGAGCAGAGTAAAGAATGCAGGAGGAAGGAGAGGAAGGAGAATAACATCACATCCACTGGCACAGAGACTGGATCTTCTCCACTGCATTTCTGCAAATGCTGTTTTTGAAATCTACTATTCTGGAACTCTCATTTATCCTGCTTGTACACTTTGCTACAGAGTTCACTCCCTGGAACAACAAACAGCACACAGTTTTCCTACCTTATCAAAGTGGTCATTAATATGCTGGTTGACAATTAAGAGAATGCAAAAAATACAAAACCACTGCAAGCATTTTGTGAGGAATTAAATGTGTACAAATGTCACCTTAGCTCTTGCCTTTTGTAACTTTCAGGTGACTTCCCATCCTCTTTAAAACATTGTAGCAGATGTTGTTCTAACATCAAACAGGATTACTTACTCAGGATGACCATGTTTGAGGGTTACTTTAAAAGCTTTCGCATAACATTAAGAGTGGGCCCCCGGTATCCTGTCCCAAAATGGTTCCAGTGGTTAATATAGTTAAATAGCTGGTAAAGTTTGTTGCGCTTTTCAAAGCCTGGAGCTTTGGGGATTTTGCTGTGGTAAGCAGAGAAGAAAGAACTGCTAAAGCCACCAAACATCATAGAAATTGCAAGTTCAAATTCTGAATGACCGTAGAAACAAGCAGGGTCAAAAAGAATTGGACCGGAGTCATCTTCAGCTACATTTCCTGCCCACAGGTCCCCATGTAGGAGGGCAGGAATTATCTCCAGGTCACAAAACATCTCCGGAATCTTTGGCTGTAAAAAAGCATAAACAAAAAACCTTTAAAACTGTCTAAAGAAAAGAAGTAGAACATTGCTTAATAAGACAAATATAAGGCCTCAAAACATATAAATCAGAATGTATATGAAGTCCTGAATGTTGTGTCTTTTTATTTGCTTTTAGCATAATTTTTACATTTTATATATATACTATGAGTTTTGCTGTTTTGAATAACATGATTTAACCTATCACTATGATTTTGCCTGATGGACTACAGTGGTACCTCGGGTTAAGTACTTAATTCGTTCCGGAGGTACATACTTAACCTGAAACTGTTCTTAACCTGAAGCACCACTTTAGCTAATGGGGCCTCCTGCTGCTGCCGCGCCGCCAGAGCACAATTTCTGTTCTCATCTTGAAGCAAAGTTCTTAACCTGAAGCACTATTTCTGGGTTAGCGGAGTCTGTAACCTGAAGAGTATGTAACCTGAAGCGTATGTAACCTGAGGTACCACTGTAATGGGTAATGACCGGGATATTTTTCTTGATGAACTGGGAATCTATCACCTGACTTTGGAATGTGACACTGATCAGAGCTAGGGGCAGTGGCAGAAAAATGTGGCGTAAGAATTTAGAATCAGAAGGTCAACAGCTCTGCTTTTAGCTGAATTAGAAGCAGCTGAGAGGGAGCCTGCAGTGGGCCAAGAAATCCCTCTTGAGAATCCACTACTGGATCATCAGTTTTCCTGCATCCTGTAGGAGTGCCTATTTGCCTCCAACATGCTCTGCTTTCATTGAGCAAGCATAAAGACCTTATGGTGTCTTTGTAATATTTATTTTATATACAAATATACAACAAATATTGCAAAGACACCATAAGGTCTTTATGCTTGCTCAGTGAAAGAAAATAAAACCTTGTAATGGAAAATCCATGGAATTTTCACCACTAGTGAAAATGGGGAGCAAATATCAATGCGTTTTTGTTAGCCTCCCTAATGGAATGAGCAATAATTAATTAATTAATTATACTTTTATTGTCATTGTACAACCTGTGTACAATGAAATTAAATGAGCCTCCCTCTCCCCCCCCATCTCTTATCAAACAACACACCACCTTGCAAGTCAATTTCATTATGTTATTTTCCGTTCAACAGCCTAACAGCCCACGGATAGAAGCTATTTTTTAGCCTGTTGGTACGGCTGATTATACTTCTATATTTCCTGCCTGAGGGTAGAAGATTAAAGAGGTGATGGCCGGGGTGTGGGTCGTCCCTGAGAATTTTTCTCTCTCTCCTAAGGCAACGATCCCTTGCGATGTCATCTAGCGGACTCAAGGGACAGCGCATGATATCATGTGCTGTTTTCACCACCCTCTGTAGAGACTTTCTGTCCGTGGCTGTCAGGCCAGCAGACCACACTGTAATACAATATGAAAGGACACTTTCTATTGTGGACCAGTAAAAAGAGTTCATCAATTGTTGTTCAACATTATTCTTTCGCAAGACCCTGAGGAAATGGAGTCTCTGTTGGGCCTTTCTGACCATCTGAGTTATGTTGATTTTCCAAGTGAGGTCCTCACCAAGGTAAACTCCCAGGAATTTAAAGGAGGACACTCTCTCCATACAGCCCCCCACCGATATACAACGGGGCAGGTTCCCCTCTCTTCCTCTGGAAGTCCAACACCATCCCCTTTGTCTTACTAATATTTAGGTGCAAGTTATTCTCTAAGCACCATGTAGATACTTTTTGAACCTCCCCCTTGTACGCTGTTTCATCTCCACCTGCAATTAGGCCCATTATGGTAAAGAAGAAATACATTTAAATAAACCAGGCCCCAACTAAAGAAACATGGCAAGAAAAATTGACAGACTATGCAGAACTGGCAAAACTGACATATAAGCTACGGGACAAGGATAACTGTGACTTTAAAGATGAATGGGAACCCTTTACAAAGTATTTGGAGACACAATAAAGTGAACTGGACTCCTTGGCAGGTTTTGAATAAACATTCACAAACTTTTTATTGATAATAATCAGCTAAATAGTTTGAGGATCTATACAACTTAGTAACATGCAGAAAACAGCAGTCTCAGAGAAACCAAAGACTGGAACTGAGGGAAGTCGGGGGGGGGGGGTTGTGTGGGAGGGTGGGGGAGGGAGGGAAAATTGGGAAAAAACAAGGATGGTATGCTTTTGGATAATATGTCTTGTTTTAATTTTGAATAAAAAAACTTTAAAAATAAAAAAATAAAATAAACCAGCCCCCCCACTCATTTTTCTATTACAACAAATTTGGAAACAGGGCTACACAAATACAATAAAAGTTAATACAGTCATGTGTGAATGCAATTCTAAATTATGAAAACGGCAGGGAACAGGGGTTTGAGGTAGAGGAACCCAATGGAGACCGTGGGTTTTAAGTCCAGCAAAGTTTAGGCCCATCCTTCTGGGAAACTTGGCTCAGTGCTGGCTTGTATCTACTTGAAAGATGGTCCAAGATTTAAATAAACAAAACCCCACTGGCATGCTAGTCAAGCTCCAAAAGTTCTTGATCCCACAAATGGAACTAAATAATACCATCCTTGATGGGGAGCAGCAGACAAACTAAAGTGCAAATGTATAGACTGGGCACTTGCTTGAGAAAGCAGGCTGGATAGGAAGGAAACCTCACATCTATAGTAAAATTCTGTCAGAGTGAGGTGGCAAGTTGGATATGCAAGCATGGTTCCAGCTTAGCCTCAGTGCCTTCTCTCTCACTCTCTTTCTCATATTGTGGCAGTCTAGCATCTCTCACCTACCTTTAACCGAGACCACAATTCCCTTGCTTCTCTGTCTCCGTAATCTCTCTCAATCAAATCCATTTGGGCTTGGAGACGGTGACGTATGAAGAAAGTGGGCCAGTCACTTTGCCATTCATTCACCTACAAAGCAAAAATATGCCAGGGGGTTGGTCTAGATCAGGGGTCTGCAACCTTTAAGACAAAAAAAGCCACTTGGACCCGTTACTGAAGAAAAAAAAACTGGGAGCCACAAAACTCGTCATTATAAAAATAACTTTTTTGTCACTTATTATTTCTTTGTTTGACCCCTCAGAATTACTCCTCCTCATAGAAATAAATGTTAAATTAACAAGTTACCTTTTTTTGTGTGTGTGTTCTTCACTCCCCTTCAAAACAGTGACCAGCGTACATGCCCCTTACAATGTAGCGGGCGGGAAGGTGACGTCGGGACGGTGCGTGACTAACGCACGCACCGCTCCCATGCGACGTCACAGCCAGTACAGTGTCCGCCACAGTGGGGAGTGTCGGGGCGCACAATGCGCCTCCTCCCCTCGCTAGTATCCACCCCGGAGCTGCGGCAAAGGTGTCAAAGAGCCACATGTGGCTCCGGAGCCGCGGGTTGCAGACCTCTGGTCTAGATCATGGGTAGGCAAACTAAGGCCTGGGGGCCGGATGTGGCCCAATCGCCTTCTCAATCCGGCCCGCGGACGGTCCAGGAATCAGCATGTTTTTACATGAGTAGAATGTTCCCTTTCATTTAAAATGCATCTCTGGGTTATTTGTGGGGCCTTCCTGGTGTTTTTACATAAGTAGAATGTGTGCTTTTATTTAAAATGCATCTCTGGGTTACTTGTGGGTTATAGGAATTTGTTCTCCCTCCCCAAAAAAAAATATAGTCTGGCCCCCCACAAGTTCTGAGGGACAGTGGACCAGTCCCCTGCTGAAAAAGTTTGCTGACGCCTGGTCTAGATGTCTTTAAGGGTCCCTTCCAACTTCTCTTTCTTTTTAATAAATAAAAGGAGGAGCTTACCTGAGCTATATAGCCACAGCAGGTGACAATGTGGAATCCAAACTTATCCACATGATGAGATTCTGTCTGGCCTGCACCTTTCCCTGTTCGACAACAACAAAACTAATCAAAGCAAGGGTGCAAAATGTAAAAGCAGCCAATCCCTCTTGATGCAGAAAGTGGCTACTTTTTGTATCATCATTATATCTGCAAAAGTGTTTTTGACGTTGTAGTACGTTATAAAACCTTAAACTCGAACTAAGCAGCAAATTATTTGCACCACTTTCCCTAGCTGCATGCTGTTCAAATTGCTCTTAACACCGTGGTACCTAACAAACACCTCAATTTTCATCCAGAAAAAAACTAACAGCTGTGTGCAAGTCCTGCTAATTTAAGAAGCACTTAAGTGCAACAATCAACTGTCTTGGGATGTCACCAACCAAAGTAGGAACTACTATTACAAATTCAGGTAGGTAGCCGTGTTGGTCTGACGCAGTCAATATATATATATAAAAATAAAAATTTGTCCAGTAGCACCTTAGAGACCAACTAAGTTTGTTCTGGGTATAAGCTTTCGTGTGCATGCACACTTCTTCAGATACACTGAAACAGAAGTCACCAGACCCTTATATATAGTGGGAGGGTGGGGTGGAGTTTTCCTCAGGAGGGTAGTAGTAGATGGGTGATTGACTCAATGGGTATGGTAAACCTGTGGACGACTGTTAAAGACTGCAATTAGACCTACAGGAAAAAGCAAGGGATAGTATGCAGATGATTAGCATATGTAATGAGACAGGAATCCAATATCTCTATTAAGACCAGGTCCCTCCATAGTTTTCAGTTGCAATTCAGCAACTTCTCTTTCAGGTCTGTTTCTGCAATTCTTTTGTAATGATACTATTACAAAGTTATGTTGGTGCATAGAAACTATACTTTACCAACTGTGTTTTCTTCTTTCTTTATTTTTTCTCCAAGTTTTTGGTTGTAAAGGTGAAGATCTGCTACTTGCTCTCCAAGTTTTGCAGAATATCTAAGAACAAAGAAACATATCCCAATATTATGTATCAGGAAATTTCAAAACCAGCTTGATTTTATATACAAACCAAACATTTCACACCAACGTATAGAATCAAAGAGTTGGAAGGAACCCCAAGAGTCATTCTAGTCCAATCCCCTGCAATGCAGGAATCTCAGCTAAAGCATCACTATCTCTAAACAACAGAACCTGGAGTGTCTTTGCATGGTACTCTTGAGGTAACTCAAAGCCAAAACCTTATGGGAATGGCATTAATTTTGTTTTAGGTGTTACATCTACTTTTAATTTTGAGCTGAACTGCCAAAGTGGAAGGGCTGCAAACTTCTGAGTGAGAAAAGCCTTACGTAGCTATGACTTGTGCATCGCTGGCCTTTGGGTAGCTGTATCCACACTTCAGTCAAGACCAAATAACAAGATCAAACTTTATAGATTTTTTTTTTAAGTCCTGTGAAGTCTGAATGCTAGCAGTTGGCCCAGTAAACCTCAGGAGGCCAATCTAGCCAAAACATTCCATATAAGACAGATAACATAGTATGGACATTCTCAGACTTCTGACAGATGCATATAATTGTCAAGATACAGCATACATGTTGCCGAAGCAAGAGAAGAGAGAAGTCCCCCGCTGGCATAACTTCACTGAAGGCATCCCATAATGTGATGTGGATGTGCGCTTGTTAATTCCCTTAAATTCACTTCCAGAGACATGTTATTTAAAGACAGTAAAACAGACACTTTTCAGAACTGAGAGACAACAGAGCAGAACTATAAATCCAAGTGGCCAATATTTTAACAAGGGGACAGCCGTGTGGCACTGTCTTACTTGCCGAGACTCTTCATTTTGAGGTATTCCATGACAAATGCTGCTCCACCTCCTGGAAGATCTATCACTTTAATGGGCTGGGGAACCCGCAGAGTGTTGGTTTGCTGAATAGCTATTAAGCTTGCCATTTCACCCTCAAACATTGTCCTAGCCTGGTCAGAAAGAATAACATTACTGAGAACACTTATTTGGCTGTGCATTAGGACTGTGTGTGCATCAGTTATTTAGATTTGTGTCTTGTCCTACCCCAAGAAAATACATATCTACACACACACACACAGAGAGAGAAATGTACATGGGGAAAGTAGGCCAATGAGAGAATTATTAAGCCTTGTGTACAAAGTGAGATAACATCTGCTGCAGTTTGAATTCATTTGGCTGATCAGCATAACGTTGACCTGAACATTCTCTTTGAATAGATCTGCACATTCATTTGCACACCTACGCGGAAATCGGCACAATACAGCAGGCGTTTCTCACTTTGGACAAACGAATCTACTTATGTTTATTCTGCTTGATTTCCCACGTCAAAATTCGCACCATAAAAAATGCTTGGAAAGAGCCGAGGCTGGTTAAAGGAGGAGGCAGGTATCCACCACCATACAGGCATGCAGATTACAACATTACATCTAAATGTTTGCAACACAGTATTTCGCTTTGGCTGCAAATTTCTAGAGGCAAAAAACATGGGGCTTTTAGAGCAAGTGCTTTGAAGTTTAGGGCAGCCCCAATTGGATTCTTATTTCAGACATACACACCCGTTAAAATCGCTGCATAGCTATATATCTTCTAAAGATTACACTCGATGATCCAGCTATAGAAAACTTGTCGCGCCCCCTGTGCAGTCAAGAGTTGGAAACTCTTTTAGAACGAGTTTGATTGTGGCGCAGATTGGAATACAGTGCTGCAGACCTCTCCCCAGAATTCGCCCAACATACGAGCTTTCAACTAGCCAATCACCGTCTGTTGCCAAGTTACGCCCCCCTCCCAGTCTCCCCTCATCCCCAACTGCAGCCATATATTAGTATTTAGGGAGCTCTATCAATATCGCCGTGAACCTGAGGCTTGTTGTTGATTTTAACGAACACTCGCCCGTGGTCGGTTTCATAGCTCTGCCCTTGGCTTATGCACCCTCCTCCCGAGCTCCCAAATGCCTTCAGCACGGTGGTTTTCAGTTCGGATTTCAGCAGTTTTTCCATGGCTCTGAAATGCTGGCCGCGGCCGCTGCGCGCCTTCCCTCCGCCTGCAGCTTTATGCGGGTCTCAGCAGCCTCTGCGGCAAAAGGCAAGCGGAGCTGACGCGAAGCAAGCGGGGCGGGCGAGCGGGCGGGTGGAGGGGGATGCACAATATGAATAAGCGGGGAGAGAAATTCGGGGATATTATTCTGCAAAATGCTGTTCTCATCTACAAGGGGTAACCGTGCAATAAAGCAAATTAAATAACATTAAATTTGCTGCAATCCAACGGGGTCGGCCGGCCTACTTTCCGAGGCCTTCCGACGCTGCCCTGAGAGCTTCTGGTATTTGTAGTTCGTCAGCCTTATCCCCCCCCCCCCCCCGCTTTGGACTGACTCCCCTCCCGCACTCCGCCCCCCCCCATGCTCACATGGGCACTAGAGAGATAGCATTTTAAAAACAAACCACTAGATGGAGCACGCCTCAATTTTAACCCATCGAATCACATTTTACAGACTGCGGGTGGGGATTACAGCAGCGAGATAGGATTAAAAAGGACATTAAAAAACCCCAGTGAGAATTAGGCTGGGACATTACAAAGCTGTTTTTGTAAACAACGCAAAAATCGGCTTTTGCATTTCCTGCTGCATCTATAATTTCCCAAACGCTTGTTCTGGTTAGGCTGGGTGCATACCTAAAAGGGCTCTCTTCTGCTTCCCGCCCCCATTTATCAGCACCATTCGCAAGCCGTGTATTCCAGGCTCACGTTATGAAAATGCAAGTAGGAGTGTGGGCTGCTGAGTGTTCACACTCGAGCAAATACCTCGGGGCATGATAATGATATTTTAGTTGCTGCTGTGCCATGAACTCCAACATAAACTACCTGCCTCCTTTCTCCAGCCTTCAACTATTGTGGGTTCTGTTGCCCCCCAACTCCATTTCCCCTCAAGCAAACATGGCCTCCAGGTTATGAGGAGTAAGGAAAACAGCCCCCTTTTCAAACCAGAAGCTGTGCTCAGTGAGAAAGAATCAACCTTCTCCATTGCAGCTTTCTCTCCCAAACCAAGCACTTGATTTGGTTGGGGGCATCAGGAACATAACTACCCCCTCACCCTACAAGCCCAAAACTTCCTTCAGACGGGAAAGGAATTGCTGTTGCTCTCCCAGTGGAATTTCTGCCTGCGTCAGCAGTCTGGCACTGTGGCACTGAACCATTGCCCCCAAGTCCAGTGCTGGACTTTCCCCTCATAGGAACAAATAACAGCTGTTCACAGGAACAGGGTATCTGTATACAGGTAGGTAGCTGTGTTCTGCCGTAGTCGAAACAAAATAAAATAATTCCTTCCAGTAGCACCTTAGAGACCAAGTAAATTTGTTAATGGTATGAGCTTTCGTGTGCATGCACACTTCTTCAGATAGATACAGTGTATTTGTAGTCCTTCCGACCTCAGCCATTAAGAATATGGCCTGCTCCTGCCCAGCTGCTTTCGAGTTTCTGTTCTCGGTCTTGCCAGATTTTAGGAGAGATGTTGGAACGTTAGAAAACGGGATAGAAAAGGTACTCTGCCATCTATACAGTATTGTCTTCCCGCTGCCAACACCAATAGACTTTGTACTGCATCACTTCTTGCAGTCATCTCACTGCCCTCCAGTGGCCGACCAAAACAGGGATTCTGGAAAACTGGTACAGCTACAAATCGTTCCTGCATCCGCACTGTGGAGACATATAAAATCATAGAGTCAGGATTATTTACATGTCCAGTTTATGTGGACTATGTGCCAGCCAAGAAATCTGAAATTAACACCATAGCTATGACTTTTAAAAATACAAGGTAACTGCACTTTCAGATCAGGCTCACTACCAAAATTATGTACTGTATGTCTGTCTTCACCCTTAATGGATCTCAGGTAGGAGAGCTGGAAAATGCTTCGCCTAAGACCTTGGAGAGACTCTACTAACAGGGTCACCAGCACATGACATCTGCAAAAGCCTCCTTAAATTTAAAGAACGCTGTTTGTTTTTTCTGCTCAGTTACTATTTGCACCAGATGGGATTCATCTAATGAGTCTCATAGGTGGAAGCCCTGCACAAAGGACTTTTGCTTGTGTAATGGGGCTTTCCTTCCTCCTCTCTCTGAGTGTAACCCCTGCACCCCCTTAAATTGACTCAGGAGGATTGGGATAACCCCCAGACTGGCACACTGGTGGAGGGGGGGGGTTGCTTCATTTGCACTGACAAAACAATCAGAAGAGTATGGCAATGAATTCCTTCCACTGTCCCAGTATGTCCTGCATTGAACACTCCCTCTTAAACATAACCCCATTCAGTTGAAAGCCAGAATTGGACACCATTGTCCCTTCCATTCTGAATTCAGGAGAAGTGCACAGAGCTTATTTCTGTGAGTGAGCGCAGCAGTGGCTGATATAGATGTTTTCACACACACACACCACATACACAATTTTGTGATCCTTTCTCTTTTTCTGTTCTTTCAGGTGTGGCAGCTGTTTTGTGTTATGCTACACCACCAGCAGTTTTATGGCCCCATTGCATCCATTTTGTGACACTCCTCAAAATTCTAATGTGCCCACTTGCCCAAAGAGATTGGTGATCCTGATGTTAGAGGATTCAATACTGGGTTAAATAGATCATAACAGCTTCAAATTCCATTTATGTTTCCCCCCACCCCACCCCCCATTCTCTTCCCCCCAAACTGTATTTTGTGTTCCTTCCACAGCTGATGACTCCTGGTCTCAATGGCTGCTATATGGTTGAGTTCGTAGTCTCACATTGTTTGGAAATTGCTGTGCTGACTGGATCATGAGGCAATCAGTGGTCAGAGGGGAGAGAAACATGTACAGATGCTCAACCTTTCAGTTGTTGTTTGATGTGGTCAACTCTGGTCTAATTTCCCCTTAATGTCTAATCTTGTGAGCTCATATAGATCAACTGAGGTAATGACTTCTAGCTTAGAGAGTAATTACAGAAGCATTTCCCCAGATGTTGTCCCAGGTCTAAAGAGAGAAATCTGAAACAAGCCACATCTGGTTTTGCCTGTACCGTAAACAACAGTAATGCCTGGTTTGGTTAACTAATTGAATTTAAGAGATAGCATCAGGTATATCATGGAAAGAGATATAAAAGCAATATCCCTCTAGATAAGCCAAAAATACACAGGGATGCTGATTATCCCTGTGACTCCATCCACCATTACCCGACTGATGACACTGATACTGCAATAGGTTTGCTAATTCCGAAGCTCCTATACAACAATGCTTATCCAATATCCTCTATAGGTTAAGGTTTTATTGCAGAGCAGATTTAAAAGTAGATTAGATGAAAAACAGAACAATATGAAAAGATTAGGAGGTGCAGAGGGGGCAGCAAAAATTATTATGAACTTAGATGATTTGGAAAGAGAACGGGTCAGAACAGATGAAGAGAGGAAAGAATCCCTAGAGCAAGAATTGGAGGGCACTAATTGAGCGACGGAAGAGCAGAAAAGGGACAAAGAAATAAATACAGTTGAAGAAGAGCATCTGAGAGGGCCCTGGATGTAGACGACCCTTTTGCCCCAAGATTGTGTGTGTCACGCAGGGAGAGTTCAGCAGCATGTAATTTATATAATATTTTTTCTACATTTCCATCCCATCTCCCCACCCTAAAATAGCATCCTCACACTAACCATCATCATAGAACAACAGTTAATATAAAACAATAACTAGAAATACCGAAAGGCAAGAACGGCAGCCTTCAGTAAATCAAATGTCAATAACATGTTTTCCGCTAGAACCCTGAGGTGCAAGAAAGGGAACCAGCTGAATCTTCCACATCAGAGAGTTCAACAGCTAAAGCGCCACCACCGAAAAGCCCCTGTCCCACGTACTCACCACTTCACTTGGTAGTGGAACATGGAGACCAAAATAAGCAGGCAAGTTCAATGGCTTTTAGGTATACAGGTCCTAAACTACATAGGTCTCTGAAGGTCAGCATCAGCACTTTGAATTGGGCCTTAAAAGTGATCAGAAGCCAATTAATTTGGTATAGCGTAGATATATACTCCCAACATCGATCTAGCATTTTGCACCAACTGGACACTTTTCAAATGCATCCCCGTGTTGAGCACATTAGAGTAGTCTAACCTGCATGGTAAGAGACCTAGCTAGACTGAAGTGATTCTCAATGACTGCTAATGGAATGGCAGCCATGCACTGAACTCCCTTCTCTCTCCACCATATTCTCTTGCAGTATTTACCTGTGTCATGTCATGAGGACATCATTATACGTCATGTTTGCCATCAGCATCATTCACTACTGCTGCTGATGGAATACAGAACACTATGATGTCACAATGTGTGTAAATACTATTAATTATTGTGGAGGGGAGAAGACGGAATTCGGCATATTACTGCCATTTTCAATACTGGGCCCACAATTATGTCTTATTTATTTTATTATATAATGCTTATTTATCAAAACATCTAAGCAGTTTACATAAAATATAAAATATGCATTAAAATTATTAATGAAATTACATATTTTTTAAAGTTAGCCTAGTCCCCCCCTCCCAATATAAATAAAACCAGCAGCTTTCAAAATACACATTGTACAAAAAGTTTTCATAGTTGAAGATAGGCTAAAAAATGCAGTGTGGTAACTGGGAGACGTGAAGTGACCATATGGTGAGAATACTGTGAGATTCAGCGTACATACCACCGCATGAGGCCTCACCTGACCTTTCTGAGCACTTACTTTCGTACAAGCTTGCTGGGTAAGAGTTTGCATTTGACATGTTCTAGGACTGGTGTTTGTAGTGCTGGGCCATTATGAGATTAGTGAAGTGGAAGGGAGTATAAAAATAGCATTAAGTAGAAGAAAGACATGATCACGTGGCCCCCTCTTTCCCTAGATGTGCTCCCATCACTCCTTAGAGTGATTTAGTGAGGGGGGGTTGTAGCTGCTTCCTCCTTTTTTCTCATTTCCCAGTGCTAAGTCAGTGATGATGCCAGAGTGTTTACAATGGCTAAGTACTCTTGTGGAGTGATAATGCTGGGTACTAACGGGCTCTTTAATTTAGCCAAGGAAGATAACATGAGAACTAGCAGCTAGAAAGAAAGGCCCAGCAACTCCCAGATGTTGGACCAAAATTGTCAGGAGGCACTTGTTGTTGTTGTTTGGCCTTTCATAGCTGTTTTTCTAATAGACTGTCAAATACAACTGAATAAGTTGTGCTATAGCATTGAACTATCCATGCGCCTGAAATCTGGCTGGTTATGTGGTTTCCTTAAAAGGTAAAGGGACCCCTGACCATTAGGTCCAGTCGCGGACGACTCTGGGGTTGTGGTGCTTATCTCGCCGGCGTACAGCATACGGGTCACGTGGCCAGCATGACTAAGCCGCTTCTGGTGAACTAGAGCAGCACACGGAAATGCCGTTTATTTTCCCGCTGGAGCAGTACCTATTTATCTACTTGCACTTTGACGTGCTTTTGAACTGCTAGGTTGGCAGGAGCAGGGACCGAACAAAGGGAGCTCACCCCATCGTGGGGATTCAAACCGCCGACCTTCCGATCGGCAAGCCCTAGGCTCTGTGGTTTAACCCACAGCGCCACCTGCGTCCCACTGTGGTTTCCTTTGGAGCTAATTAAAAACTCAATTTCCTAGCAAGTTTTTGCCTTGTATGTTTATGAAGAAAACCCATACACCCCCCCCCCCCCCCCCCCCCCGGTTTGGAAATTCAAAAGAAGCTTTGTTTGGAAAGGGAGAGTTAGACCTTTTTTTTTATGTTTTCCCATCTTTATTCTGGGATCCTCCCAGTACCGAAACATTACAACAAGGCCAGCAGATCTTACAGCTCAGATGTGATGCACTCCCTAGCTACTGGTTGCAGAAGGCAACTGAAGGCTACATGGTTTGATTAAAAGGATAGGGTTTGTGTGTTCTGTACCATGAAAATAAATAAAAACATTATTTTAAAAGGATAAGATTTGTGAACCTCGTGAAGCACCCTCCACTGATCCTCTCTCATAATTCAAGCACTAGGTTCCTTCTTCCTTGCCCCTTACCATTCCATCCTTCTCTGTGTTAAATAAACACAACTCATGTATATTTTCATAACTTATTGAGAACATAGCATTTGGGGCTTTGTGGTACGTACACAGTTTGGATATTGTTATTATTTGTGCAGAGACTGGTCTATAACTCTACCTAAAGACAAGGACCAGTGGTCTTAAATACATAATCCAACATTCATATTTCAAATGCATTAGCTTCTTTCCCATGTCTAAAATTTCCATTTCTGTTAAGTACCCAGTTCTACATCACTGCCATTCTTTGTAAATGGTATTCCCGTTAATCCAAATGTCTGATTATGTTTTGAATGTCGCACATGTCACTTGAATAAAGTAGCTCATTCTGTATAGGAACTGTTCTGCACTATTAGCTTGCAGCGCAATGTCTGCTTTTGCTTTGCTTCATAGTAATGTGAAAATGTGGAAAGGCTGAGAAAAATGGGTATGGTTACCTGATGCCTTGTCTTTACACAGCATATGCCCTCTGTTCTAACAAGACAGGGCACTGAAAAGCAGAGCCAGCCATGTTGTACAATACACTTGTAAAAGCAGGTATAGAACAGGGGTCAGCAAACTTTTTCAGCAGGGGGCCGGTCCACTGTCCCTCAGACCTTGTGGGGGGGCCGGACTATATTTTGAAAAAATATATAGGAACGAATTCCTATGCCCCACCAATAACCCAGAGATGCATTTAAATAAAAGCACACATTCTACTCATGTAAAAACACCAGGCAGGCCCCACAAATAACCCAGAGATGGGTTTTAAATAAAAGGACACATTCTACTCATGTAAAAACATGCTTGATTCCTGGACCGTCCGCGGGCCGGATTGAGAAGGCGATTGGGCCACATCCGGCCCCCGCGCCTTAGTTTGCCTGCCCATGGTATAGTGATAGAGTTGGAAGACACATTGAGAGCCATCTAGTCCAACCCCACTGCTGTGTAAGAATCTTAACTTGCAATCTCCCATCCAATATTGAAACCACATTAGACACTGCTTAGCTTTGCAAATGCACTAGCAGTTCTACTGCTGCACTACTAAGGGGAAAACTGATGCAAACACCACTCCTGACCCCCATATGGAAACTGGCACAATATCCATTTCATCAGCTCATTGTACTTCCATGTGGAACATGCAGTTTAGTTCTTTGCTGGTAAGCCATCTACAGTGCTGACCAGCTACCCACCGATTCAAAGCCAATGTGAAACATGTATATTTGCACTGTTGTAGATGTATTCCGATGGCTGGTCCACCACTGTGTACATATTTATACACCCTTATCACACTGCACATTGTTTGTGCAGTGGTGGAAAAAGATTTGGAGGAGGACATCCTACAGACAGTGGATAATTAATGAAGGCACAGAAAGCTTCCTATCCACATTAAATGACAGTATGAATGGCCACATATTATTCCTGATCTTTGCTGGAGTAGTGTGTGGTTGTCACTTGTGGTTCAAAAGAAGCCGCTGCTGAATTGCATTTTCTAGTCTATTTAAATGTGCATTGTCATTTAAAAAAAACAAAGTGTTATGTACTGAAGCCCACAACTTAACACAAAGCACCACCCAACACCTACTCTAGCCAGCCTTTGGCAATCCATGCTGAAATTCAGCATGAGTTTGGCCTTATTATTTTGTCTTCTTCTGGGCTCCCTGCTTTCAGAGAGCACTGCCTATTGTGCACACATGCACACACCTTTGCTACAGCGGTGTGTGCATTTTTGCCTGGAGTGAGCCTTTCTTATGAGACAAATGGACTTTGACATTTGTTAGCAAAAATGTGTCAGCTGTAAAGAATTACCCAAAGGTCTGTTTACACAGTATGTGGCAGGTCCGGCAAAGAAATATGTATTCTATGAAAACACAGAAAGGGCTAAAAGAAGGTTTCCTATCCAAGGGCTCCTATACTGTTTAGATCTCCTTTTCTATCTCAGATCTGCCCTGTCCTTGAACTTTCAGCCAATAGCATTAATTATAATACAAGCTCTGATATGTCCACACATCAGCTTTTTTCAATGGGTGATACGAAAACCCTCTTCATAAAAGCTTGGAAATCTAATTCACACTGGAAGGAGCTGTATGTTTTTCCCAGCATGGAGGAAATTGAACAGAAAGCCGTGTGCAGCATATACTCTTGGTTGTGATAATAGCTGATTATCTGGGGATCCGGGGAAGTGGTGGTTTGCTGCACGGTGCAGCCGTGGCTCAGTGTCAGGGCCTTTGCCTCCTCATGAGGCCATTTGGTGGTGCTAGGGCCTCCCCTGGCAGCCACACAGTTTCGGCGCCAAAGCCCGTTCAGATGGGCCAATCGGAAGGCAACAAGGGCGCAGGGTCATGGCAGCAGCCTGGCTTCAAACAGGTCCACTTATTCATATTATATTCAGGCCACACCTGGACTCCTTCTATACAGATCATCATGAGACTACCCACCCTCCCGCGGTGTTTATTTGTGTTCTGCCCAAAGGTACAGTCACAGTGTGAGGGCCATATTCGGGACCAGGGAGAATTTTTTAATGCGTTAAATTGGATCGTCACACTTGATGTTTTTCTAGGGTCTACCCTCAATCCAGGGGTGATCCACACTATTTGATCAACCAGCAGGCGGGTTGCTTGATAGTGGATACATACTCAATGCCTTCAACAAAACCTACTTACATCTGGAACCAATAAAGTTGTGGCCTATTGCAACCCAGCACCGATATCCAGTGTCTTATTTCTGTCCATGGTTGGCCTCCCCACTGCTGCACACTTTCTGTGCCTGGGCATGTGGAAGGATTTGCTCTAGGGTTTGAAAATCAACTTTTCTGCTTTTCCATACATATTTTATGCAATATTATAGCATGCGAAATCCACGTCCCATTTGGTAAACTTAGGTAATAATGCCTACAGTGTAAGCACTCTTCAACGCTCACTCTGAAACAACATACGATTTTAGCTCTTAACATGCCTTCATTTTTCTAAAGAACAAAATACTAAGTGCCCTGGTTGAGCTAATGGTTCTGCATGTCCTTGCACATCCATCCACAGCCTCTGCGCTTTCTGATCTTGGTCTTATATCTCTAATTGCAGTCTTCAGTGTAGCCATTGAGAGATGGGGGCATACAGGGACGGGGTCTCTGCTTTAGCTGAACGTCTAGACTTCTCCCTCCAGACACATTCTTTCAAATTTCCTCCCACTCTGGATTAGCCTGTGTTATCATTGGTACACTGGAGCCCTTTCAAGATTAATAAAAAACACAATGTAAAAAGTGTATTTTGTGTGCCTACGTGCCTGAGGGAAGCTTCACATGTTACACTTGCAGAAAGAATATGTTTCAGTTCAGTAGATGAGGTACACTGCAGGTATAATGAACAACAAGCCGGAGTTGTACATTTATTTTGCCAAGTGTATTCTGCAGAAACATAGCTCTTCTGTAGTGTCTTTTTATGGTGTGTGTACATTCAAAGAATTGTGTTTGGCCACCACACGCATTGCAGAGTGCATGTACACACCATGTATATAAACATGCACTTGCTAAAACTGTGAAGCAGCCGCCCCCCTCCTTAAAAAAAACCACACCTCTTCATGCCTCTTGAGTTGTCAATAAACAGGTTATCAAGAAACCATGTTAAGCAATACTACTAGCTAACATCCTTTAACTATAAGTCTGTGAGGCCCTGCCATTTTCAGGACTAAAAGAACCTATTAACATCCTAGGCAGCAAGATAAGGCTTGAGACTCTTCAAGTATTTTAGGACTTGATCTGTGCCATTTGTTTATTCCATTACAGCACTGCCTCGGCACCCATGCAACATACATCTCACCTGAGCTCTACAGAAAATATCACCAAGTCTTTCATGTTGAATAGAGCTAGTTTGAAGTAGAGTGAAACATCAATGAACCATGCATTAAAAAATGATGCATGGAAAGACTCCATCAGCTGCCATTGCCCTTGATACTTCCATTACACTATGTTTATTGATTCATCTTGTTAATAAGGTAAGAAGTGCGACCGTGCAATTAATGTTTATGCAGCTTTACAATCATATACATTTCCCAAAGACTTCCAAGGATTGGCAGAATTTGGATAGAACCTAACCTGTAGGTTCGGAATAGCAAAGCACTAAGATCTAGTGCATAAGTCACTCAGGTTTTGTGGAAAGAGTGTTGAACTAGGACCTAGGAGACCAGGGTGCAAATCTCCACTCAAACAAGAAGATCACTTGGTGACTTTGGGCTTGTCACAGTCTCCCTCTAGTAGCAGGGTTGCTTTAAGGATAAAATGAGGAGGGGGAGAAGTGGGTAAGCCACCTGGAGCTCCTTGGATAAAAGGTAGGATATTAATATAATAGTAAATAAAAATAACAGTCTCCGGCAAGGAGCCTGCTGGTGCACATGTATCTGCAGAGGCCTTTCCTGGTGAAAAGCTGCAGAGTACCATTCTTTTGCAGAAAATAGGCTTGAAAGAAACCTTCTGTGTAGCGACGTGGAAGAAGTAAGTGGGTGTGATTATAGTGTGTGTGTGGTGCCCACAACAGTTTATCTGGTTCGCAGATGTGCCTCACAAATCTGGGATCACCTTGAAACCAGTGCCAAAGTTTTGCAGTCGTTTTGCAGCAAAAACCCTGTGTACTGCAGCACCCATAAAACAGAGCAATAGCCACTCAAACCCAGGGGCCAAAGGGTAACCCAAAACTCAAAATTGTCCGATTCACTCCAAACTGGTGCCAAACATTGGCGACAGTTTTGCAGTGTTTTTCAGCGAAAACCTCACATTTTGCACCCCTGTGCTCAAAACACTAATCCATGTCATTGGGAAAATGAAAATCGCCTTTCACCTCATTTCCTGTTAATGCTTTTCATGTGATGTGTGGACAGTGGATGTACAAATAGAACGAGCACCTATTGCATGGTGCCTATGGTGTCACCAGAACTGAGCAACACAAGTCCCCTCTTTTCCATGGCCATGGCTTCACAGAAAGTGTTTCTAGCTAATATTTTGTTTTATTTATTGCAAGGCCATATTGGTCACCTCTCCAAAAAAACAACAGCCAATAGGAATAGAACTTAAGAGCTTTTCAATGGAAAGGAAAGGTGGTGACAGCAGGAAGGAAGTATGTATATAAATCCAATTAATAAAATGCTTTCTGCTCTGGGAAGCAGGGTTGCCTGTTTTATCAATCTGTGGTTGGTCATGAAACAACCGCAATATGCCAAAATAATTTAAAATGCCATCTCTTTGGATGCTGACATATTTATTCATTGGTATTTTGATTTATTTATTGGAACTCCCTGTCTCTTGACATTCAGTAGGCACCCTAACTGTTCTCTTTCTGGGACCTGCTTAAAATGTTTTTGCTTAGGCGAGCCTATCCATATAGGTAGTAGTTACATGGGCTTGTTCTTGCATTCACTTTAATATGAGTAGGACACCTCATGTTTTTGGTTTTTTGGTGAGCTTTTGACCCTTGGGTTTGATTGGCCATTGCTCCGTTTCTTGGGCGCTGCAAAACACGGGATTCTTCCTGCAAAACTTTTCCAAAGTTTGGTGCCGGTTTGGAGTGAATCGGACAATGATGGGTTTTTGGTGAGCCTTTGAACCCCAGGTTTGAGTGGCTATTGCTCCATTTCTGGGGCACTGCAAAACATGGGGTTTCCGCTGCAAAACACTGCAAATTTTTTGCCAAAGTTTGGTGCCAGTTTGGAGTGAATTGGACGACGTTGTGTTTTTGGCCATTAACTACAAACTTGGTTTTGCTGTATCAATTACTCTGTTTGCGGGGCGCTGCAAAACACAGGGTTTTCGCTGCAAAACGACTGCAAAACTTTGGCACCGGTTTTGAGGAGATCCCAGATTTTGGGATTCGTAGTTAATGAAACCGCTGGATGTTATCCCACACCTTGAGGTGTAAGGAGAGAGAGTAGATTTTGCAACCAGATACTTGTTTGGTACAGATCATAGCTTAGAAACAAAATCTGAAGTTTGTGCTTGCAGAATCTTGACACTGGAAGAATCATATGTAGCATGCAGGATTTGCCTTGCCTTGCTGCAAAGTTTACAGGGGCCACAAGTTTTTCCCAGCAAGATTTTGATAGAAATCAGATGAGAAGACAGTCCAGCTCCACTTGGAACATGCTGTACAACTCACAGGGTGTATACCATTCCCTAGAGAAGACTTCCTATACTCCCAGGAAGAATGGCTTCCTTGGGAGTGTGTCTGCCTTCCGCTTGCATGTCTCTGAGGGGGAGAAGCCCCAACCAGGGGGCAAAAGACTTTGGAGCTGGCTTTCTCTCCTCACAGCAGCATCGGTCACTCTGTCCCACTTTTGCCATGTTGACCAAAGCAAGCATTTGCTTCATTCTAGTGCTGGCAGGGAGCCTTGCATTCCCCAGTCTGAATCCCAACCAAGTCAGGGACGGCAAATCTAGAAATAGACATTTTTGTTTGTAAAGAAATATGCGAATCTCAAAATAACCTCCCAAAACTGGATGGAGAGACTGCGTTTGGATTCAGGGACATCACCCTTCCAAGTCCGCAGAACAAACGGGATCAATCCTACCCACCCTCCTTTCTCGACCCTGACACTGTCGCTCACAGCGACAAGTGAGATTCCAGACAATTCCTCACGTAGGGCTCACCCTGGGAAAGATTCATGTCTCCAGTTACGCAGGGCTCTGAGAACACGCCCTGCTGCTTTTGCCAACGGGGAATCGAGAAATGAGTGGATTTGAACGCAGCATGATGCATGGGTGGAAAAGGGCAAGGCACATCTTGGCGTGTTGGGCTGACTGGGTGCAAAGCCAGAACAATGTGGGTCAGATAAACTCTCTGGGGCTGTGCTTAGCATAATCTCTGGTATGCAGACGTCCATCATAAGGGGAAAGCAGCAGTGCGCTGATCTCACAAATGGCTTTTTCTGTCATTAGATTTCACAGGACAGGTTTCCCATATGGCAATTACAACTATTACCTGATAGCTGTGGTGTGCTGATACTGCTATCACAGGCATGGCTCTCTTATCATGCTAGAGAGGTGAGACAAGCCAGGAATTTTAAAATTGCTGAACTGAGAGGGGGGGTGGGAAACTGGGACTATCCCTGATAATCAGGATACCAGGAAATGGAGCCAGGAACCCATCAGAGTTGGGTGTCATAAAACTATCCACCCTTCCCAGCATTTCCTCCTTTGTGCCCCCCCTTCATAGAAAGGGCAGGATACACACACATACAGAGAGAGCAGCAGCTTCTTAGGGAGAAATTGCCATTATCTAGTTGCTATTATGAGACTTTTACTCTATGTCCAAAGTCTCTATTGGGATATTTAATGGATTCCACATTTTTCTGCAGACTGCTGAACACAAGGCAGCCACATAAGCTGAGTGTCTGTGCATCCGTGGAATAGAGGAGATTGCCTGCTATGCAAAAGTTCTCTTCCAGACAATCGGTTCTGTCTCCTTATCCTTGGAAGGGCTGTAGCTCATGGCACTGCATCTGCTTTGCATGCAGAAAGTCCTAGATTCAATACCCAGCATTGCTGAAATCCTATAACTTTTCATTCCACAAATGTTCCAGGGCTGGTGGTAGTTTGTACCACTTTTCTTGCGCTATAGCACAAGAGTGCCCTTCCAGGCAGCAATAATGCAGCAGCATTAGGGAAGCATCACAGAACAGCTAATACAGTGGAATGATGTGTGGACAGTCCAGTATAAATCCATCAGTAAACAACATGTTGCAGAATACACTCGCAGAAACCAAACACACACCAGTCGCCGGGGGGGGGGGTAAGTAGAGCATTACTTCTAGGCAGGATTGTCTCTCAACAGCTCTCTTTTTATAAACCCAGCACTGCCTATGAGTGTAATAAGAGGGATGTAATCATCAATTTCAATCTATTAACCACCAAGTACAATTTATTAGTGCTTCACCCCGGTTAGTGCATTAATACAGCCTGCAGAAACCTTACATGGGGAATGCATCAGTTTTATACCAGTTTAGCTCTCCTGATTTCCCCCCAAAGAATCCTGAGAACTGTAGACAGGGGCAGTATTCAGAAAACTGTATAAGATCCCTTGGCCTTCTCCCTCACAGAACTACAACTCCCAGAGTATTCAGAGAAGAAGGGTTAGCAGTTAAACCAGCTGAAGACTGCAGGTTAATGCTCTCTCAATCCTGATCTTCCCACTCCCTCTTTCTCTCTGTTTAGTTTGCCTGGATGGTTGAAGCTTCCTCAAGGTGGCAGCATATACTATCTGTTGGTTTAAAACTGTTCACATCTGACAGCTCTGATACTCTTCAGCTTCTCTTGGCCTAGCCGCAATGCACCTGCACTGACAGTTCGGATCTGTGCACTGAGAAAGGGAGGGAGCAAAAGGGCAGTGATTGCTACACAGGGAGGGGACCACACTGTAGGAGTTTTGTGAGAGACTCTTATGAAGGGGATCCCTGGACTGTAAATAGTTTTAAAGAGAAAGGATTCCTTAAGCATTGGGTTTATTAAGCATTCTTGCGCTGAGATTCTGAGGGCCAATCCAAACATTCCTTGTGTTTATGGCAAGCCTGCTTGTTTTCAATCTGGGCTGAAATAGACTTGTGGTTGTGTTAGCTGTTCCTCTGGAGCACTGTCCATAATTTTTGCCACCATTGCAAACTTTCTCTACGTGAGTTCAGCAGCGGACTTATGCTGCTTATCGTAGATGGAAGTATACTCATATGCACAGTTGGCCACAAACTACCATTTAAGTAATGCCCAGGGAGATTGCACTGAAACTAAGCATTTCGCCACCCCCCACATATAGGCATAATCAAATAGTGTTTTCCCACTTCCAACATGTTCAGGGCAAATGTCTGCAGTGGAGACTCTTCTGTATTCATAGGCTCATCACATGATCTAGAACCCTGCACCATCATGGTACAAGATCACATCAAGACCCTGCACAGGAAGAGGGCTGAGGGTTAAAGCCAAGCCCTCCAATAGCCCCTCAGTATTCACACACCCCCTTTACCAAAGTAACAATTCAATACAGCATTGATGTTTCAGAAATGCAAGTCCAAAATATTCGTCTTAGGTGCACCAAATCAGAGTTCTTTGGATCCTAGCTAAAACTTTCAGCAGTTTTCAAAAGAAAAAAAAAGAAACAAAAAGGCTGCTGTTTTGCCTTCATCATTTCTTATGGTTCAGTAGCAAAGGGAGTCCAAATTTCTGGCTCTCTAATTGCCACCACCTGAGCATTTAACTCGTTTAATTCACCAGATCCCATATCTTCCCCAAAAGCTAGTTATGTCTTAAGAAAGGTTTGCATAGGTCTTCGTCATTCCTAAGGTTTAAAACACACCGCTGTTACCCAGGAACAGCTCCTATGAAATAAATAAGATTATGCAGCGGTTTGGGGCAAAATCAATGTTGGAAGCTGTGACTTACTCTGCTGATTTCCAACTGAGCAGGGAATGCTTTCCTGATATATGGAGAAAACTTCTGCTTCCTCAACACCTCTGTGCTGGGCTGCTGTTACTGATGCAGGGTCTAGGCCAGCAAGCAAGGTGGCAGCCTAATAGGTCATCATGATGGGCATTGCTGTTTCCCTCTCCAGAATGCAGTCTTCTAAGTGAAGCTGCGACAGCAAAAGGATAGGTATGTGCTGGTGACCCAGGTTCATTTTGGATAGCAAGGGGTCCTCCCCATGAATTATAGGGTGTTCTCTGTGCATGAGGATATCAGAAGTCCTGTATCCTACAGGGGGTATCTTCCAGTGGATGATGGGCACCATCCCGATGGCACAACACTACTCAGCTAGACCCCATTTCTCCTTCTCCTTGTTTAATAAGCCTGCTAGTTCTGTTGGCTTCTGGTCTGCTTCAGTATGCAGTCCTGGTGCAAATGCAAAATTTAAATCAGGTATAATGTAAAAAAGGGGTGATTAAACTGTGGCCCTCCAAAGGCTCTTGGACTCCAACTTAGGGTTGCCACATTTCAAGAAGTAAAAATCCAGACACAGAAATTTCTGCCAATAATTTTTTTAAAAACCCTCTGGAGATATGCCCCTTCAATTCCTTTCCCTTAGAAGATGAATTATGAAGACTTCATGTTCTTGGGCATAGCAGACACCACCCTGTCTGCATCTAATACAGCATTTACTAATTTGGGAATCCCACCCTTTCTCTCCCATGTTTTTGCAAAAGAAATTTAGATTTTACAAATAGCATTCTAGGATTCAAAGCTATTCATAAAGCTGGCTTTTGCCTTTCCCTTTTCTACATAGCTCAGTCAGTAGAGCACGAGACTTTTATCTCAGGTCCATGGGTTCAAGCCCCCACATTGGGCAAAAGATTCCTGCATTGCAGGGGGTTGGACTAGATGACCCTCACAGTCCTTTCCAACTCTATGATTCCTCCCAGCCCTACAGCAGCTCCCTAAAACACTGCCTATGAGCTTCCACACAGCAACTGCATCCCCAAATCTAATTTAATTGGATACAGAATGTTTCCACAAGGATCTCTCAATATGTGAGTTGTAGGAACAGCAACTGAAGAACCCTGGTGTCCATGGCACAGGGCTAGGAAAACGCGTGTGCTCTGACCAGCTGTTTTGGGGGATGCACCTCTGAAATCTTCCTACTGGGCCCTCCATTCCGACTCTGTCTGATACACTGAAGCATAGGAAACTGCTGCATGCCAAGTAAAACCACTGGTACACCTAACTCAACATTGCAAGTTGCACTTCTCCTACATGGAGATTTTGGGAACTGAATTTGGGACTTTCTGCATACGAAGTAGGTGCTCTATCACCAAGCCTTACGGAGAATGGTTGAAGGAGCTGAGTATGTTTAACTGAGAGGAGATATGATAGCCATCTCAAAGGCGTTCACATGGAGCAAGCTTGTTTTCTTCTGCTCTGGAAGCAGTGGCGGAGCTTCATGCTCTGGCACCGGGGGGGGCGGGGGGCGGGCCAGAGAGCAGGCGGGGGTGGGGCTGGCGCGCATCCTGGGGGCGTGACGCCCAGCGCGGGTGGGGGGAGCCGCGATGGCACCCCACCGGGATCATGCTGCTGGGGGCGGTGCGCTCTCCCCGCACTCCTCTTCCTCCGCCAGTGTCTGGAAGGTAGGACTTGAACCAGTGGCTTCAAGCTACAAGAAAGGAAATTCCAACTAAACATCAGGAAGAACTTTCTGACAGAAATATCCGTCAGCGGAACGGACTCCCTTGGGAGGTTGTGGACTCTCCTTCCTTGGAGGTTTATAAGCAAGAGGTTGGATGGCCATCTGTCATGGGTGGTTTAGTTGAGATTCCTGCATTGCAGGGGGTTGGACTAGACGGCACTAGGGGTCCCTTCCGACTCTACAATCCTATGATTCTATGAGCTACTTGTCCCTCAAACAAAACACCCTTCCTTTTCTGCTCTTTGGCAATTTGTACAAGTTGCTCTTATCCCAAACACAGAGCTTTCCAGTCACTACTCTATTTACTGTAATTTTAGCTCAGACACAACCAAAGACTCCCACCCTGTCTGGAAGCCTCTGTGAAGGGAAAAAAATAAAATAAAATAAAACAAGACTAAACTATTTTAGTCTGCTTTTCCTTTTTCCTCAGACTTGGGTGTTTTCCCAAGTGGCTAACTCTCTGGAGCCATGAGAAGGGTGAACCTGTCTTCTTGTACACTACAGACTCAAACATGGAAGATATGTTAACTTTCAAGTGGGCAAGCTTCCCTATGATAAGCTAGCTTGGCATTACAACTGATTGCTCAAAGAGAGGGGGGTGCTATCTTTTTTATTATTTTAAATATGGTGACAGTATGGCCTGCTGGAAATACCTGCTGGAATATACCATCTCTCTGCCTTATTCTACAGGGCAACCTTTGGAGTTGTGGCATCTACTTTGCTTTTCATTGGAACCCTAAAGTCTTCCCACCAGAGCCAAGTACAAAATAGCAGCTCAAGGACAGATGCATATACTGTATACCCTTAGCCTGGTAGGGTTGCCATATTTTGAAAAGCAAAAAAGAGGACACATTTGCCCACTTCCACTTTTAACAATGGTTAAAGCTATGATTACTCTGCCCATGAAAAAGAGGACATGTCCTGGAAAAAGAGGACATATGGCAACCCTAAAGCAGGGTGCCTCTGACCACATGCTCAGCCCAGGAATTTGTTTTCAGTACCAGAACTGAGACGCAAACTTATTGCTTTGGATTTTTTTTTGGGGGGGGAGGGACATATTAATTGGTGTAGGATGAAACAGAAAGTTTCTTTTCAGGCATCTGTAAAGCTGCATCCTGGAACAGGAAGTCACTACTTATCTAAAATAGCTGGCGTTCCTGGAACTGAAATGCACCCAGGGAAGAAATGGCTGGTTTGGCTGTCTGAGTGGTTTGTTTATACAGTGGTACCTCAGGTTACATACACTTCAGGTTACATACGCTTCAGGTTACAGACTCTGCTAATCCAGAAATAGTACCTCGGGTTAAGAATTTTGCTTCAGGATTAGAACAGAGATCGTGCTCCGGTGGCGCGGCAGCAGCAGGAGGACCCATTAGCTAAAGTGGTGCTTCAGGTTAAGAACAGTTTCAGGTTAAGTACGGACCTCTGGAACAAATTAAGTACTTAACCCGAGGTACCACTGTATCCTTTTAAGCATAATGCATTACTGAATGGTTTAATCAAGGGAACCTGAGCAATATTTTGGGGAGGTAGGGGTGTTAATTACTTGCACTCTGCTTTTTAAAAGACCCCTTTCCCATAGTAGCAAAGGTATAATGCTAATATTACAAAAGTTGGACACACACACACTGCCGAGTGGTGGGAAATCAGGTCCTCCCTTAAAGAGGGCACGTATTGCGGTGAGACCTGGAAAACCGACACCCTGTGTTCTGGGTGGGTATGTTTGGACAGCCACAACACTCGATTGGTAGGTCCCTCGAAGCTGGGTGCAATCTGGCCAATGGGACGCAGTCCAGACGGTTTGAGGGAACTATTTATGCCCATGCATGTGACCCAGAGCTTCCCCTTTTGGTGTGTGCATTTGGAACATCCGCCCACCTCTCCCTACTTTTAGGGCTTTCGCTTGACCTTGCTATGCCGTCATTTGTTGTCTGCCGTTGGGACAGGGGCACAGCAGGAATTTTCCCCATTTGGCTGATTGGCTGTGCCATTTGGGTTTCACCTGCAGCGTAGCAAATCGTCACAACTTGTAAGGTTGCGGATAGGCTCTGGTTCAGGTGATAGGAATGGGAGAACGCTCTCGCCATCCCTATGTGAAGGGTATTCCATTAAAGGAATCCAGGGACTCGATGGTTTGGTCAACCCCTGAGAGGGGGTTGTGCCCATGCCTGAGTCCAGGGGGACATTTGGGTTGTGGAGTTAGCCCATTCCCGGCTTTCCGCTTATCCAGGTGTTCACCGTTGGCTGACCTATGCTGGAACCCTGAGTCAGCGCTACCTGCATGGCAGGGAGCTAGTCGAACCAGAGCCTATGCAACCAGTCACTTTCTGTAATCAATAAAGTTGTGGCCTAAATTCTGCCAAAAACCAAAACCAAAATTTGAGTCATGTGTGAATTTATTTAGGGGGGAGGTTTCTGGGTCTGAACACGCAAATAACACCCATGGCATTTTGGAGAGTAATGTAAGCAAGAAGGAAGATCTTTGCTTCAAGGATAAATTTTGACAAGGATGGAAGGAATAGGATGATGTAACATGATATGAATGCGAGAGAATGCAGGCATGTTATACTTGGGTTGTAATCATATACTGTACACAATTACTGTAGAAGTTGTTGGGGCTTACTTACTACATATGTGTGCTAATAGAGGGAGATTCATTTCCTAATAAATGTGTACATTTTGCCAAACAAGACAAGCTGAGGTTTGTCTGCCTAGATATGCACTATACTGAAACTAGCTTAAAAAGAAGATTAAAAAAACCTGGTAAAATTTTTGTTGAGCTTTCTTTTTGTTTAATAAAAGAGAAACAATAAAGATAAAGCTGAGTATGTGAGTCACTTGTCTCTTGCTACCAGAGGAGATGAAGGTTGCAGCTTGTTCCTCTTCATGCAGCTGAAAGAAAGACTGCTTTCCTACTAAGATATTTGCAGATTAAGAGGCAAAAGGATCAGTTTTTGGAATACTCCACTGATGTTGCAAACCCCCTTGTTAATAGACATGTCTTGCTTTGTTACCTCATTTTAATTAATCATAAAACAACGACAGCTGCCAAATATGGAGTCTGGACCCAGGCCTGCAACTGAGTTGAAACCCTTAAAATATACTATTTATGGTACTTGAGGTTTAAAGCTTCAATTTCTTGTATAAACCTTGCCTTTCCTAAGAATTATGCCATGTGTGTATAAGCAGATTTATCTTGACTTCCAGAGGTGCTCCAGCCCTCCTACAAGCAGAATTCACATTTGTATATGTTTTGAAAAAGCAATGAGGTGGCTATGTTGCTTTTTCATACAAATGGTCCTTTGCTGTCACACTGAGAAAAACAGGTTTCCTAATAATGTATATAAGGCAGGGCTTGCTTCTGACTGTATATGCCCCACATAGCTGTATTGGCCTTTTCTTACACTTTTCTTATTTATAGAGCTGGTGTGGCAAAAGGCCATAGGAAAAGCAGATTCCTCATGAGACCATGTCCTCCACCATAATGTCCATCTGTCCATTTAATAGCTGGTGCAGCATAGATATATAGAGGCATTTCTTCTACACATGCACGCATGCACACAAATGCTTATACCAAGAACAAACTTAGTTGGTCTCTAAGGTGCTACTGGACAATGTTTTTATTTTTATTTCGACTGCATCAGACCAACACGGCTACCTACCTGAATGGATAACTACAGTTAGCAAAGATGATTGTGCAAATATAAAGCTAACCAGTTAGCTCAGAAAAAGGGAGTGGGACTCCTCACATGAAAGGAGAGGAGGAATGGAGGGTTGATGAGAATGGTACACTCCCATTTGGCTACACTATGTTTGCAAGTGGACTATGTTTCAGGAATAGGTCTTGTTGCTGATCGTAGGCCAGAAGAAGGCTGAACAATTGCTGCAGGAAGGCAAGGCAAGCATGTATTAATGTGTACAGCCAGGGCTTTTATTTCAGCTGGAACTCGCCAGAACTCAGTTCTAGCTCCTCTCAGGTGGGCACCATTGCCATTATAAGAGAACAAGGTGGGCATTCATAGTGAGCACCAGCACCTCTTTTTCTAGAAAAAAAGCACTTTGTACAGACTGTGTGTAGCAGGCTGAGGCCACATGCAAATTTTAAAATATCAGATAATCACAAATATTTGCTACAGTCTAGGATTTCTCAAACTCTCTAGCTGCAGAGCCCTCTTGAGAGGGATGAAGCTTATTGAGACCTACCTCTTACAAAATGGCAGCATCTCGAGGTTTGCCACAGAAATTATTTGCCACAGAAATCTCCTTGTGGCCACACATTCTGTAGTTCAAGTTTCTTTAAGTTCCCAACTTTAAGCATATTTTGCTAATCCAGAGGTGTGGGGTGTTTTTTTAATTGCATTACACACACCTCAAAGTGTGTGTGGGTGTGTGGGTGTATATATATATGGTCATTTCTTCTTCCTTTCTTTTTTCATATTTAGTTTGTATCCTATTCCTCCCTCTTCTTTAACTTTTACTTTTTAATTCCTTTCCCGTCCCCTGTATATTCATTTTACCCCACTTCAGCAGCTTCCTTCTCAATTCTAGTTTGCTGTTGTTTAAATATTCACATTTAACTTATTTCCTTCAAATGTCAGTTCTTTCTCCTCAGGGAAGTCCCACCTTAGAACATCTTCTAAGCTCCACTTCTGTTCTTCCATCCCTATATGGACCGTGAAAACACACACACACACACACACACACACACACACACACACTTCAGTTCTACAGATGAGGCTTCTACTTGTGACAGGAGGAGGTTTGAGGTGTGTGTGAGAGAGAAAGAGCACCTGGATGTGTGAAGCAGAGGAGTCAGAAGATGCTGCAACACCAGGAAGGAAGCAAAAAAGAAAGGCCTGGCCCCACCTAACTTTAGACTAATGACAGTGCCACCTAGGGATTAATAAATCATAGCACAGTATTTTCCTCACAGGGCCATTTCGTGTTATGGGCCTAAACAAAGAATCTCTCTCTCACACACCCACAAACACCCACCCACATGCTTCCAGCCTTTGAATGGGAGCAGAAGTGCCTGGGCCTCTTTGATTCATCACAGATTACATACTGAATCCGCCTCCTACATTTCCCTGAGGCTCTTCTGAAAACTCTCATCTATTGATCCTGAAGTACCTCACTAGGCCCAGGGCTTTTTTTGAGCAGGAACTCAGTTCCGGCGCCTCTCAGGTGGCTCCATTGCCATTATAAGAGAACGAGGGAGGCGTTCATGGTGAGTTCTGGCACCTCTTTTTCTAGAAACATAACACTAAAGAGACACTTTCAAGAATATTTCAGCTAAAAGACAGTTTTGCAAACTAAGGATCCTTAGTTGTTCGCTGGGGCAGCTGGATTCTCTGACGAAATCAGTTGTGACTTTTTTTGACAGTTATGCAGCTGAGACACTGACAGTCACAGGAGCCCTGAGGGAGGAAAAAGTTCGCAACTCAAGTAGACAGGAGGGAGCCAAACAAGGTTTCCTTTCTGTGTCTCTAGCTGACCATGCCCCAGTTTCCTCATAGCCTCTTTTCCCTGAGGCTTTTCACTCCTAACAAACTTCCACTAACAACTGTCTCTTTCGCCTCAGCCACCATGTCCTTTTGTGACATCACAGGCCGTTCTCAGCCGATGGGAACAGCTAGGGGAAACATCAGCATAACTTCCCCAGACTTGACAATTGTGGGGCACCTTAACATCAATTTATTCATTTACTGTATTACTTACTTCTCACCCAGGCAACACTTCATGAGTACTGATACCAGGCAAGGGAGCATAACATAATGTTCAGGTGTTTGATCTTCCATTATCTGTCTTTGAAAAAAAAGATAGCATGCACACTACAGCTAGATGCATTTAGAAAGCCATTTTGTTTAGAAATATAAGCAGACTTGCTTAAGTGCGGCAGTTCTCTTCATGGCTTTCACAACTGTTCTTGAAAAAACCTAACCAATGTCAGACATCCTTCAAGGGGGAAAAAACCCAAGACAAGGAGAGGGATGGCTACCACCCAACAGCACCCCCAGGCACCACCACTGGTTCAGCCTGCCAACTTCCGTTGGTTTAATCTATTCATGAATACCCACCAGTTTCCTTTCACATATCACATTGATGTACATGCACATATTTGCCTCAACCATTCACCTTCCAAACCTCTCATTGTCACACACAAACATTCACCAGCCAGCATCCATGAAGATTGCCAACAGACACATTCACTCACCATTCATTCACATTTGTGCCTGGCTTCAACCCACAAATATCCACCAACTTCTGAAGGTGAATTTCAACCAGCTTACATCCGCAAATATCCATCTGCTTCAGACTTGCAGCATCCACCAGCTTCTGAAAATGAGCTCCAGTAGCTTTCGCCCAAGAACATCTGCCATCTTCTGCTAAGTCCATCACTAGACATTGGCTAACTTCCGACCTTGGATATCATCCACCTTGAAGCACGATCCCGCTCAGCAAGTGAACTTGCCTGACTGTCACACCATAGCACCCTGCAGCTAGATGATCGCCCCCACCTACTAATTCACCTCCTCCAGGAGGAAGAAGACAAGGTAATGCTGACTGTTACAGCTGAGGTTGCCATGCGCTTTGTTGACATCACAGGTAGTCCATAGCCAATGGCAGCAGCTGGGAAGGCGCCATCATAAACACAGGCCTCACAGTTGTGGCTGCAATGATTTCTTTGTGTGTATTATTATTTAAATGGTTTGTAGGCCACCCTTCATCTGTACTGATGGGGGCCTAACTGGCGAAATGAAAGGGAAAGGAGAAAAAGAACAAGAGATGGGGAGCTGCTTCCCAGCTTGCTATGCATCTCTTTTACAAATTTTTAATGCAAATAAGTTATTGCAGAACTTCTCTGGAAAGTTCACAAATTTGACTAAACGTGTGTGTATACATCCCCCTCTTTTTAAAAAGTCAGCATACCATTCAGATAACTGTTGTGTGAAAGCCGCCCACTTGACTTTCCCAGACCATTGCAAACCATTTGAAAATCTGTGGTTACAATGGCATATTACAATGTGATATTGGCACATCTTATAACGGGTGACTCTTGAAACCAGCTTAGTTCATGGCAGTGCAACTGAATCAGTACAGGCTGATAATAATAATAAAAAACAACCCAGGCAGTATTTACAGGCTCAGTCATTTGGCTCCTGAGCATGTGACTTTTGCAAACTCAAAAGAAACTTCAATATCTACAGGGGTGGGCTCCATTTCAACAATTGTTGGAAGATTTATTCCTTTTGCATAAATTGTAGAGTTGTTTGTTGCAGCTTGAAGAGTTTTCTTTTTTGCCAGCCTCAGCCTATTACCTGCACCCCTTTTACGCTTGGAAATGTTCCTCATGCTGAGAAGGTAATGGGTGGAGCTGTGGTTAAATGCAAGGAGTCAACCTCTTCTCCAACAGCTGGTTTCTTTACATGACAAGCTGGCATGCTGTTCAATGAGTGCTTATCTGTCTCTCATTGGCGGAGTCTTTTGCCAGGCTATCCAATTGCAACCCTTCTTTTCTTCCTTCTTTCTCAGAAGTGGTGCTGCTCCTTGTGCTGTGCAAAGAGGAGATATGTGCATACTGTACATAAATCCTGGAGGTAACAAAGACAGATCAATGAGCTTAGGAAACCTTATACATGTATACAGGCAGCACTTTGCTCTGTTTCAGCCACTTCTATGCCTTAACATATAGGGTGCTCTTTTCCTTAGAAAACTTTGGGACCAACCTAGCAAGAACTGTTTATTAAAAAGGCACATAAAACGATTGTCTGGTTAATTGCAGGCAGATAGATCAAAGAAAGCTCTACGAATTTCAAGATTCTGGAACTGGTTCTGCAGCTGGCACTTTCTTTAATAGGAGTTAGTAATGTGTATTATTCCAAAACGAACATTATTCTCAACTGGCTGAAGTGCTGAGGGAACAAAAAGGGCAGGAAGGGAACGGAACACAGTAAGTTAGCCCAGTAGACACTGACTCTGCAAGGGCTTGATGCTAGTTTGCTTCACACAACATTAACTCAGAAAGAGTTCAGGCAATTGCCAGCTAGTCATTTTGTCTTAGAATAGTCAGAATCTTGCTGGTGCAACACTGAAAGTTTATTCTGCCTTGGTACAAACTTACATGTGGTAACTTAAACACATTTTTTATTCTTCTCAAAGTTTAATTTTAAAACACAGCTGCACTTGAACCTATGAAGAACACCAAAGTATTAATTCTTATTATACTGTGCCAGGTTCTTATTGGTTGCTTGCCTAGTTTTCCAAGTCTTGAGATAAGTTGACTCTTTGCCTGTTCTTAACTATTAACTGTCCTCCAAGCATCCATCTGACCTTGCTTTTGGCCTACACATCAGAGCATTTTGCTGTTTCTTTGTAGCAAACTGAACTTCTCAGATCCACTTAGGGTTACTGGTGTTCAAGGATGCAACGAAATTTAGCAGAACTGGAAAAAATGCATTTGTACATGTTTTCCAAAATTATAGATGCCCCCTCTGAGCAAATGAAAGCTGTTTACTAGCTTTATTATGGAAATATTCTGTTTTTCAGTACCCTATTTCAGCTTTGCATAGCTTGGCTGATTGCTGAGAGAGTAGGTACATTTGAAATGTGCCTCTCTGGGTCTTCTTTAATTAACAGCTGTCAGAGAAGGGGTCCCTTTTCATTTGTCTCACTCTTGCTTTGAACAGTGTGATTCTAGAGTTGCTCTCCCCCCCCCCCAGTGTAATTCAAGAAATTCAGCAGGTTCTGCATTTTGTCACTAGCAAAGAGAGCAGGGGAGGCTCCCACAGTATCTTCCACAAACTTGGGCAGGAATTCCAGACGGATGTTTGCTCCAATTTTTAAGTAGTACTCCAAACTCTGAGCTACATTTCCAAATATTTCTGTTCCTTCAATATTCCCTTTGTGCTCTCAACTTATGTGTATCATGGAGTTGCATTTGCTTCCATAGCAGCTGTCTTGATTTACACATTTATAATTAAGTTTTCTGCCTGGAACTCTTTCACAGTACTACCTTTGGGGGCTTTGCTTGCTGATAAAATGTTTTCTAAGTGCTAGATAAGCAGGGACAGTTCCTGGTCCCTAATTGTGAGCACACCTTTAGATGAACGAAATGAAATCAAACTTTTCCAGTTTGTTGGATCAAATCTACCAAAATCATACCAAATTATTTGCTCAGTAATTTATGGTAAAGTGATATGGCCAGTAAAGACCATCCAAATTTTCCCAGCTGAATGACTTAGGTCACTGTCTACAAGTGGGCATGGTTAAAAGGACAATCTTGCATGAAACTAAATTAAATTTGAAGCCATGCAGCTAAATCTCACAATCACGAGGCTACTAAGGGCACTTTCAGACTACAGTGGTACCTCTGGTTAAGTACTTAATTCATTCCAGAAGTCTGTTCTTAACCTGAAGCACCACTTTAGCTAATGGGGCCTCCTGCTGCCGCCGGGCCGCCGGAGCACGATTTCTGTTCTCATCCTGAAGCAAAGTTGTTAACCTGAAGCGCTATTTCTGGGTTAGCGGAGTCTGTAACCTGAAGCGTATGTAACCGAAGGTACCACTGTGTTCAGACATTTTGCAATATGGATAGTGTTGGGAAAATGTGCTGCAAAGTGTGAATTTATTAATTACATTTTTATACTGCCATTCATCTGAGGATAACAGGGCAGTTTGCAATATAAAAACACAAAAATACATACCATAGTAACAAACAGAAACAATATTCACCCCACAGTTTAAGAAGCCATAGATTGATTAATTAGCCAAAGGCCTGGGAGAAGATGAATGTTTTTGCCTGGTGCCTAAAGATATATAACGAAGGCACCAGGCAAGCCTCTATGGGGAGAGCATTCTACAAGTGGGGAGCCACCGCAGAACAGGCCTATTTTCAGAGGCAGCCCCATGTATAACACGTTGTAGTAATCTAACCTAGAGGTTACCAGAACATAAATGACTGGTGTTAGGCTATCCCTGCCCAGTTGGGGGTGCAGCTGAACCACCAACCAAAGTTGATGGAAAGCATTCTGCGACACTGAAGCCACCTGAGCCTTAAGCGACAGCAGTGGATCCAGAAGTACCCTCCAGCTATGTACCTTCTCCTTCAGAGGAAACTTTCCACCCATCTAGTTAGGAAACCGACCACTGACAGTGTCTCAGTCTTATCTGTACTGCGCTTCAGTATATTGGCTCTTATCCAGGCCATTACTGAGGCAAGACAATGGGTCCAGCATATCCACTGTCACATCCGCAGATGTAAAGAAGTAGAGCTGTGTGTCACCAGCATACTGCTGACAATGTAATCCAGTACTCTGGATGACCCCACTCAGCAGTTTCATGTACATGTTAAAATGTATGGGAGATAAAATTGAACCCTGAGGATTTCCACATTGAAGGCTCCATGGGGCTGAACAGCAGTCCCCAAGCACCACCCTTTGGAAACGACCATCCAAATAGGATGCTATGCAACCCTAACTCAGATAGTCGCTCCGAAAGGATACCATCATTGATGGTATCGAAAGCCACTGAGAGGTTGAGACTGAATAGGGACACATTTCCCTCTCCCGATATATGTCATAGGGTGACCAAAGCAGTTTCTGTGCCAACTGGCCTAAACCCTGATTGAAATGGATATAGAAAATCAGTTTTTTCCAAGAGCCCCTGGATCTGGTCCACGACTACCTGCTCAAGAACTGTGCCCAAGAAGGGGAGATTGGCAACTGGCTGGTAATTAATTAGATTTTCCAAATCCAAGGACGGTTTATTGAGCAGTGGTTTTATCACTGCCTCCTTCAAGCAGGCAGGGGCCACCCCCTCTTATAAGGAGACATTGACCGCCTTTTTAGCCCAGCCCACTGTCTCCTCCCTACTAGTTTTTATCAGCCAAGAGGGACAAGGGTCCAGAGTGCAAGTGGTCACCCTGACCGATTTAAGCACCTTGTCCACATTCTTGTACTTAACTGACATTCATCCAACACAACATGATTAGACAGCACTCTTGTCACTTCTTGAGGTTCATCTGCTGTAACAGTGGAGTCAAGGTCATGGTGGATACAAGCAATCTTATCCTCAAAATGCTTTGCAAACAAGTCACAGTGAGCTACTGTCAGTTCTGCCACCTTCTATGGACCAGACTGTAAAAAACCCTGCACTACCTGGAAAAGCTCTGCCAGATGGCACAGTGAGGATGCAATGTCTGCCTTCTTTGCTGCCTTCACTGCCATTAGGTAGGCTTGATGATGAGCCCTCATGAGTGTTTGGTTGCATTCAACTGGAGTTTTCCTCCACTCGCATTCAAGTCATGTCTCAGCTTGTTTCCTTGCCCTAAGCTCTGGAGTATACCAGGGAGCCAAATGGGCTTCACAAAGCAGGAGAGGGCACTCAGGATGATGGTGTCAACAGCCCTACCATTTGGATGTTCCGGAGGTTGACCAGGGCTTCGACAGGAGCACCGGTCATAGCAGCTGGAAAATCCCACAGAGCCATCTGGAAACCCATTGGGTCCATCAGCCACCAGGGGCTGATCAGCCTAAGAGATTTCCATGCATGCATGTGCCTTGCTGTAGAGCAGTGGTGAAATTTTTACTCCATGATGATTCCATTGACACCATTCAGTACGTCCTGGTAGTTCCTCAGGAATCCACAGGGTGGAACTGAGTTTTAGGAGGCAAATACTGTGTTCCCTACATTAGGGTGGGTGACCTTGTAGGTTTCAGTGCCCATTGGCTCTTACCCTTTGCTTCACTCCACTCACCTCACAGAGTGTTTGTTGTGGGGGAGGAAGGGAAAGGAGAATGTTAGCCGCTTTGAGACTCCTTCGGGTATTGATAAAGCGGGATATCAAATCCAAACTCCTCCTCGTCGTCGTCGTCGTCTTCTTCTTCTTCTTCTTCACTGGCCTCATAGCTCACTACTAGTTTAACAGAGTCAATTTCTATTTCCAAGTTATTCAGCTATCCCTTAGGTGTGTGCAGTGCTAGGTTTAGGGTGGAGCGGGTGGTGAGAATATCCATTTGAGGTAGCCAAATTTTGGGTTCACCCAGGGCGCCATATTATGAAAGACTGCCAAAGTCTGCCCCTGGGTGTGCAACATATTGCCTGCTCCTCTCCCCCCTTTTTATTGAGCAGCACCCAGTCTACAATATGTCTGTGTATCACATCTCACTCTGCCATCTCTTCTGGTGTGCTGCCTTAGCTGTTTTAGTACACATGTGGCATGATCCTAGGCATTTTTATCCAGAAGGAAGACCAATTTAGTTCAGTGGGGCTGACACACAAGTAAGTGTGCTTACCGTAGCTTTGCAGCCTTAGCGACAGGGTTAGTCCTGTGGCTCATGAACATCCTGCATGCAGGGAGGGTCATCTGCCAACATCAAGCAGAGAGTTAAAAGTATTCTGGAAAGGCCCAGAGCACTTTTGCTGTGGCTTTTGCTGTTATCTGAGCCCTGGGAAAGGAGACTCCTCCTCTTTCTCTTCCTTAACTCTTCCAGAGGCAAGCAAGCTGCTGTTTGGTGATTTGTCCGGAGTGCTGCTATAGGCTTTCTGCACAAGCATGGCAGAAAAGCCTTCCCCAGCCCTCTTTTGTGCTTAGGAACAGACTTTTCCCCTGTGCATGAAGGACTGTGGAGGAGATGCTAATTCAGACTCCATAGTCTTGTTGCATGTAGCATGTGTGCTGTTCCCTGTGTGCAATAAACAGACTGAACCTTCCTATTTACTTGGTGACATAGCCAAGGGAGGGAAAAGCAGATCTGCTAGCCCCACTGTCATCTCCTGCCACAGGTAAGGAGTGTGTGTGAAGAAGACATCCTGGCATTCATTTTGCCTTCTTTCTGATTTGGATTGGAAGAAGTTAAGTTGTTCTCGGAAAAAGCAGCTCCCAGGGTTTGTCTTATTTCATCTGCACCAGCTCCTTTCACTCTGTTTCAAACCACTTCTTCCTGTGCTTCTATTTAAAAGCAAGCACCACTGTTCTTTACTAAATGTGGGTATACTCCTTGGAGAAACCAAGAAGTCACAGCTCCAAAAGATCTGCCGAAAAACTGTTGTTCAGCTGAAAATCCTCCCAGGTAATTTATGCTTCCTTGTAGTTTGCTTTACTGTGCCACTCATTGTTTTCTCTCCCACGTTGTAATGCAATCGTAGACTCACATCATGCTTGGATCCTGTAGTTCTTCTGTATCAATGAGAGCAGGAAATTCATATGAGGTGTATTGTTGCTTCCCCCCTCCTGCAAAAGTCTCATGAGTTGATCTTTCAGGTACATTGAACACATCTGAACAAATACATTATATACTCAGTTATAGAACATGCATTAGCTATATATGGGGACATGATTATGTGAACACAGATTATACATGTACACAGTGTATAGATGTATATATATATATATGCATACATATTAGCATTCAATATGTACACATACTGAATATAACAGACACAAAGTAAGATCTACATGGGCTGTTTGTTAGATGTATGAAGAGCACACTCATGTAGTGCATGGAATGCACACCCACCATTGTACATAATAGTATGTGCACATAACAGAAGAAAACATGCATGGGTATGCATAGTTTAAGTTACACACACACACGATTCGGGCTTGACCACATATATATGGGAAATAATTAAATGCCAGTAATGGCAGGAGAGAGCTGGGGGAGTCCTTGCTGGCAAGGAGCTGGCAAGGAGACCCTCCCTGGAGTACAAAGAGGACGTCAGTGAGGACGGAAGAAGTGCCAAAGAGACGAAAGGTGCAGCAGGGCCTCCAGCCTCCTGCCATTCACAAAGCTTCAATTCTAGCTGTGGATATTATTGGATATAGTATTTGGGGTATGGATTGAAGAGAGCTGCAGAGAGGGGATTAAAAGGGCATCAATTTCAGTTACATGTGCGGGGCCCAGGAATATAACCCCTGCATAAGTGGGGGGGACGCCTATACACACACAGACACACACAGAGTATGTAGATACATACAGTACATAAATAACTACTAAAATATAGGATATGCTGACACTTTCTGAGGGCATAGAACACAAAATATGGAAGGATTTTTGTGAACCTGATATTAAAATATACACCTCAAACTTTCCAGTGATGCCTTGGGATGTTTTTAATCAGTGAATTTTGATTTTTTCACATTTGTAAATGGCATTAAAGTTTACTATATAGTTTGGGAAGTAGTTTGTCTGCTTTTTTGTTTGTTCTCTAAGCATTTGGACATCTCTTGCGCTATCATTGTCAAACTTGGCACAAGAGTTTCCGAGGTGCAAGTGGTGCTCTTCGTCAATATATGTAGAAGTCTCACCTTAGGCACCATGCATGATCAACATTGCTGAACGGCTATCATACCTCTTTGATTTATCATGTTCTAAATTCAAGCAATGGATTTCATCTTCCATTGCTTGACTTTTGCCATCATGGCTATCAGCATATGCCCTAGCAAACCCCATTTGTGACTCACAGAAGGAATAAGCTGCTCCTTATACAACTCCCAAATCCACAGGGCTTGAGGGAATCATGTTGTTTTGTTATCATCTCAATTCATGTTTTGCCAAAGGCTTGTCAGAATAACCTTTTGCTATCCCTGGCTAAGAAGAAGCATATACAGAGATGAGGATGCTGTTAGCAGCTTGGAGAAGGAGGGTGGGCTAGTGGTGCAGGGTTAAGACTTTTGAAAGCACCGCTTCAGCATTAACTAAATATTTATATTTCGCAAACAGTTCAGTTGTGCACATAAGGAAATTTCAGGATGTGGAGAGGTGCCCCTGAGATCAGGGTCCAGCATTCAGTGTGTCTGTTAGCTTCATAGTCCACTCCTGCTTTCTTTCAGGGGGGCTTTTATGGTGATGACAAGTGTTCATACTCTTCCCTACTTAAAGGAAAACTTACCTTTAAATCATTAAGCTCTCTGCTTTCCTTTCCTACAGCTATGGGGAAGGGCCATGTCCCAAAGGGCAAAGCACGCAGAAAACATCTGTAGTAGTAGTAGATAAAGGTAAAGGGACCCCTGACCATTAGGTCCAGTCGTGGGTGACTCTGGGGTTGCGGTGCTCATCTTGCTTTATTGGCCGAGGGAGCCGGCGTACAGCTTCCGGGTCATGTGGCCAGCATGACTAAGCCGCTTCTGGCGAACCAGAGCAGCACATGGAAACGCCGTTTACCTTCCCGCCAGAGCGGTACCTATTTATCTACTTGCACTTTCACGTGCTTTCGAACTGCTAGGTTGGCAGGAGCTGGGACCGAGCAATGGGAGCTCACCCCGTCGTGGGGATTCGAACCGCCGACCTTCTGATCGGCAAGCCCTAGGCTCTGTGGTTTAACCCACAGCGCCACCCACAGTAGTAGATGACTGTAATTAAGCAGCATATAAATTGTCAAAATAAATTTTAAAAGATCCCAGGTTAAACCATTGGCATCTCCATGTGGGGCTGGGAGAGACCCCTGTTTAAAACTGGTAGAGCTGCTATCAGTGAATATAGACAATACTAAGCTAGATGGACCAGCAGTCTGATTCAGCTTAAGGCCATCTCGTTGCTTCTGTATAAGCATATGTAAGGATAACTTTTGACCCTGACAATCTGGAATGAGCTGCATCCTCAGTTTGTCTTCTCATGAATGGAGTGCTCATGGAAATTTTTCAAGCCTGTTTTTTTTCATCCTTAGCATGCTTCAACCTGCTTGAATTATCCTTTTGTTTGCTTTTAGTTCTCGTGATGTTTTTTTGAATGGTGTCCCACAGTTTGAAGTGACCTCTGGATTAATTAAGGTGGTCATAATTACCAGGGGCCTCTTTTTTAAAATATTTATTTATTTACCAGGCTCTTTATTAATTTCAACCAGTTTCATAGCTGATCAATTGTCATGGCACTAAGGAACCATGGAAATACTAAATGGACCAATGCTATAAAGCAGCTTCCCGTGTTCTTATTTACCGTAATTGAATATTACTGTGGGCTGAGTCGACAGCTGTAGTGCTTCACCTACCTTTCAACCTATTCATTTTTTTTGCTGGCTAAATTGAAACAAGTCTGTATCTTATCTAAACTTTGATATATGTGCCTTTTTGATGTACGGAAGGAAGTGTGTGAATTTACAACTGAATAAACAATAACTGCTACTCATTGTTAGAAAGAAAGTCCATCTTCAGTTCTGTATCTCTCATTCCTTCTTTCAACAGGGAACTAACTACCTGCCCATTAAGATATTTGGGTGAAGCTCTCCTTCATGTCCTGCCATCATCTGGGATTACACTGGTGAGTATACTGAAGAGGGTGATCTCTTTCTTTTGGGAGTGGTGTTTGGTCCCTTCTCTTTTTAATGTTTGATAGCTTGTAAAGATGGCCTTGTATTTGGCTTTTGGCAGGCCTTTCATGGTGCTTAATTTCTCCCTCCTGGATTAGTTCATGCTGGCTGGCTCCTGTTACAGTGATCATTCTACATTATGATTATTATTGTTTATTGATGTTTTATTGTTGTGATTATTATTATAGCTCTGTTTTGTTTTCAATTGCTTGTGAGCTGCTTTGGAGGTTTTCAGCCTGAAAGGTGACACAGAAATATTGGTATAAAAAATAAAATAAAATAACACCACAAAATAAAATCAGCCTTGCAAAATAAATGTAATTTTAAAACTTGAATCCCACCCACGATTAATCAGCTAAAGTTTTAGTTGATTAAATCAATTAAAGTCTTCTGACATAAATTTAAAATATTTTAGTCACTATAGCTGTGTGAATGAAAGGGTGGTTAGCATATCTGAAGGTTTACTAATCTTCAATAAGAGATTGTTGGAATTTGCCTTAAACTGTAATTTTCTTCTTTGTCCTCTTGTGAGAGATCATTTGTTTCCAGCTCATCTTGCAACATAGTTGGTGGATAGTATTTATATCATCTCAGGCCTGGCTGCATGCAAAGATCTATCAAAATCAGATGTTTTCCTCCCCAGGGTTAAATCAAATTTCCATCAGTCTAATCCTAGACAGACATTGAGAACAGCTGGCATTTGCCAGTCTACATGAGTGCAGCTACTGGCCTGGCCCAAGTGTTATTGTATATAAACCTGTGTTGGTAGGTTTCTGAAGCTTACAGTGTTTGTGAGCTAACTATAGGTGGAAAGTTCTTGCCCTCCAGGGTTTACTGGGCATGTCTTATCCAAAGAGGGATTTGACAGAATGCTAAGAGACTAAATATCTTAGTTATGGCTTTGTTCTCCAGTTAACAATGAGTAGCTAAAAATATCTGACTTCATTTTACTTTCTGAAGGGGAGATGCTAAACTTAGTTTTTGATTTGCCAGATCCATGAATACACAGCCAAATAATTTCACATTTTTGCCAACAACATTTCATAAAACATGTAATGAGGATAAAACATACTGTTCTGGACGTCGGGATCTTGCTGTGCTATGATGCCAGAGCATTCCCTCATCACATACAAAGCTGCCTACTGCCACTAGGCCTCACTGTGCATAGACAGAGAGACAAGCAAATAGACACACACACACACACCATTTATGCAGCTCCCCATGTTATAGCTGTCAGATGATCCCATTTGGACATTGCCTCATGTATCAAACTAGATGGATTTGTCCAACAATTCCTCCCTATAAACCCATAAACTATGGCTGATCAGAAGCATCAATGCAATCTTCTGCATGAATCTCATGCAGTCTACTTTTTCTCTCTTCTAATATCAGATGACTGATTCATTGGTTTACTCCCCTCATTTGTAACTACACGTTCCTGATCCCAATCCAGCTTCTATCCAGCCATCTTTTTAAGCCATACAGTTTACTCTGTTAAATAGTCTTATCAGAAATCTCCTAGAGGTCAGAAGATAAAAGGTTCTTGTATGCCTTGGAAAAGCAATTTGTGCCATTTAAGTGCAATATATGCATTTTATTAACTGGGAACTATATGTCAAGCACTTCACAAGCAAGTGCTCTCCAGACTGGCAAACAGGTCAATATTGTGGCTTCCAGTGTTAGAAGCGGTACCAGATGGCATGGTGGGGCATGGATGTTAACCTGACCTCCCAGGTGTTGGAATCAGAAGAGTTGACAGGGTTTAGGGAACAGAAAGACACTGCAGCAGAGGACAGTTCAGACTCCAAGGCAGAAGCAAGGGCTGGAGAGGGGCAGAGCCAGAAGCAAAGAGGCAGACAGTTGAAGAAGCCAGGGAGTCTTCCCCTTCTGCTGTGACCAGCTTCTCCCTGCTCTCGGTCTTGTAAAACTTGCTGAGAAAAGAAATGGGCAGCGCAGAGGGTGGTTGTGTGCAAAGGCGTAGCTAGCTGCTCTGGCACCTGGAGCGGTGGGGGCGGGGTGGCGATCCACCTAGGGGGCGCCATGGCGAGCTGCCCACAGAGTCCGCCTGGTGGGCACAAGCCCCACACTGCCGTTTCGGGCAGTGCGGGGCCCCGAGCCACCGTGTCACTCCCAGGAGAGACGCATGGCTTGGGCACGCTGCAGGCCCCTCTCCGCGGTAAGTGCCGCCCCCGCGGTGTGCCATTTTGTCACCCCCTCAGGGATGACACCCAGGGCGGACCGCACCCCCTGCACCCCCTTCCTACGTCCCTGGTTGTGTGCAGACACAGCCTGCGACTTTGTGGGAAAGATCCTGGAGAGGAGGAGTCCTCGTGGGCACTCGCCCATTGCTTCATTGGGGCAAGACCTCCTTGAAAGAATTACTGAGACCACTAGGCCGGAGCTGTGGATTGTTTCTTTGAATAAAGAGTTAACTGCACTGGCCTCAGGTGTTGCTAGCCTATGACTGACTCCGGCCCTGACATAGATAACTTTTAAAATAGTAACAAATCGGTTAAAAAAGCATTACATACAGCGCATGTTTAGGAGTACATTTATGAAACTATCAGATATTCTGTAGTTGCATCCTGCACTGCAGAGCCTGCCTTGAACCAGGGGTGGACCAAATGATTTCTAAGGTCTCTTCCAAGCCCATGGTTTTTAGGTTTTCTACATTTACTCCCCATAAAATGAAATTTATCAATCTCATAATTGTGCACATTTAGCCGAGGTAACTTGGAAATGACAAACATTCCTTTTCTTTATTGCAATTATTATACCTTTGCAAGACTTTCTGAAATAATGGGAGGCAGGGAAGGAGAAAACTTATCTGTTCATCCTTGTGCCACTCCATCTACATTTTCGGCTCTGTCTAAAAAGGCAGGAAACAAATGGTTAAAGTTCACTTTGTTCCATTCCCAAGTTTTCTGCTTTAACCAAGTTATCTCTCACCATCCCCACCTCGGCTCTATGCAGACATTCCAAAATAAATATCAAATCAAAGGGCAGCCTTGAATTAGCTAAAAAAGGGATCATAACAAGCAGTAATTGAAGAACAGGAAAGCCAGTTAAATATTTTTATTCATAGAATGGAATCTTGTCATCCATGTTAATAACTTGAGGCAAGAATTTGAGGCTGAACCATCCTATTTGTGATGATAACCTATAAGGGGATGTAACCCATTGACTGGCAGGAAAACAGCCTCTGCCACAAACAAGGCAGTGATGCCTATTGGCCCTGGGGCTCAGGAGGACCCCTTGGGTTAAGTCAGCAGGGTACTCAGCTCTTTAGAGTAAGCTGGAGTTTAGAAAAGATCATGGCAGGGAATTTTAAAAGCCTAAAATTACAAAGCTTATAATATAGTGATAACTTCAGTGCTTAGTTAAGTAAGTGAGCTGAGCTTAAAATGTTTTCCAGGTTCTTCCTAAAGGGTGGGTGCAGACAAGAGTTTTCCAGAGACATAAAGGCACTACAATAAAGTCATAATTGCCCCTGGTACACACTTCCCTTCCCTGATCAAAAAAATGTTGCAGGTTTTTGAAGCCTGAAAAACCTGCCAGGCCTGTTTTGCTAGAGACCACATCAGGACAGAAAATAAAAAACCTGAGTACTGTAGGCATCAGTGGCACTAACATGTGGCTTTCATGTCTCCGAGTTGGGAATGCTGCCATCTGTATCCAGCAGTAAGGAGGAGGAAGAGGAGCAGGGCCAGAGCTACTAAGCAAGCCCATGGTTTTTGAACATTCAACATTTGGCGCTTGTGCTGCATTAGCTGACATGGGGCTTATTGAACTTCCCTGTGCCTGGTGAGGGTCTGTCCATAGTATATCTCTTGCTGATTTATGTGGCAGCCCAGGCCAAAAATATACTATCCTTGTTGCTGCCTTATTTAAAGCTATACACACAGGCTTATCTTGGGCAGCAAAGTGTTCCTGTTTCCTGCAAGGGATTAACCCTGCTCAGTTTGCTCCAGAGATAGAGAGGATGCAGTGATCCACTTACTGCCTGTAGGGTGCATCATGCGGAAGATTATTTAGGAAGAGCTCAATGGAGGGAGGGGACCAAGTTCAGTGTACTGTTTAGGGCTTATCCGCACTTCTCTTTCCTCAACTCTTTCCAGGCACAGTCCACGATTTAAAGCTGTGTGTCCAAATGCCCCCAACCCAGAGCTTTCCCAGTGAAAACCCACTCTTTAAAGCTCAATTGGAGTAAATGTCAATCCATGGAAAACCCAAATAGATTGCTCTGATTGAGCTTTAAAGAGTAGTTTTTAGATGGGAATAAAGGTAAAGGTAAAGGGACCACTGATACTCAAGGCAAAAAAAAGCCCATGCTTGGACATGGAACGTTAATGCACAGACCTCTGCTTGGAAAGAGCAGTGTAAAAGGTAAGTGTGGATAAGCCCTATGAGACCTCAGTCTTCAACAAGGAAAATAATTTGTTGGGAATCTACCAGTTGATGGGCATGCAGCCTTGAATAAGGGGATGCAGAGGAGTTAACCACCACAAATCAGCATAGCATAATGCAGTACAGATTGTGTGGACAGATCTATAAGGAGTGCTTGGTATGGAAGACCATTTCCAGCTCCACAGTTCTATGATTCTTCCTATGACATTCCATAGCTAAATCCAGAATGCATGTTTATAAATCAAGCAAGAGATGGGCCTTTGCAGTATAGCAACATGCCAGGAGCTCTGGAATGAAGATATGCGACTGTGCTGTTATGTTTATTGTTAAGCATGTCCAGAATATCATTTAAATTAGGATATTCCCCCTGTTTGCCTGATGCATCTGTTTTTTGTATTTATTCCCGGTAATAGTTGTCTTGCAAGGCCTAACCTGGCTTGCAAGTTTGTGCAGCCCCATCGCCTTACAAGTTTGTCATTGAGAAATTCAGCTTTCTGATGTCTCCAAGCTTGCTAAGAATAAACTTAATAAATTAGTGAGCACGCTTCAAGTGCACCACCATGGGCTGCTCTGGCATTTTAATCTGACGGTGAAGCTATCCAGAGTGTTCTCTTAGCGTGTGGCCAAAGCCTGAAGTATTTGCACACGGCCGTTGTCAGTACATTGAGTGACCCCTTGTGTGCCGCTCTGTCAGGCCGAGTGAATTTATAAGAATCTTCCACTGGTGAAGGTAGCAAAGCTGTTTCTTCTAACACACTAGATGGAGTTATCTCACTTAGATCACCTTCCCCTTGTCTCGCCAATCTAGCTGATGAGAGATTATTAAACAATGCAGCTGTATTTTATGCTCTCCAGGGCTGTATATCCTATTCAATGACACACATTCTTTGCAGGTCAATTGTAAAACATGTTGGAGGAAGTTGGCACAAAAGCAATCTCTTACAAATCCAAGCAAATTGTTCTGCTTTTACGTGGCCGTGTTTTATATAGAATGGCCTGTAACCTGTTAATGAAGCTCTGCCTAGGCAGTGTCATTGCAACCCAGGAGCTTTCTCATCACTGGTGAAAGGAAAGGGAGCGTTAATTCTTTACAGGAAAGCGGTTCGAAGCTGAGAGGAAGTGAAATGAAACATCTGCTGCCAACAGAGTTGGTCCCTTAGCAATAATACCTTGCTTCAGCAACCCCATGGCAGAATGTCAGCACCTCTGAGCACAGGAAAAGCCAAACAGATTCCACTAAATGAAATGAAGATAATTCTCCAGCAGTGGCCCAGTCTTTATTTCTGCCCACAGTATGCAGGCAAATGGGAATACAACACTGAACAAGGAGTCAACCTGGAGCATTCCCCAAGACTATGCTTCTTCCCCTCATTTTCATCATAGGCAGGGACAGAAGAAAACAAAAGGTTTAAATGAAGTGGACTGAACAAAGACTGGAGTGCAATCTCACTCCAGAGCCAACCAAACGTTATAAGCCACAAAATTGTGCTTACCGTGTGGCAGTGAAGGCACTAAGGAAGTCACACTTCACTGTATCCATTATGTCTTTGAGAGGTCAGCTGGCGGAATGACAAGTTATCCTATAAATGTAAAACAGTTATGATGAGACATGAAGCAGCCACCTTGCTGAATCTGAGGAGCTGATCAGTGCCTGAATAGAAAACCACCTGGCCATTAGTAAGTTGCATGATGGAAGAACCACATGATATAAATGCTTTAAAATAAACAAGTACGGTAAATCGTGTAAAACGAGTGCATTACTATCAGTGTTTTCAAATCCCCATGCATTTTTCAAGATATGATGGTATACCTCTTAACTTTGCTGGTACAAGCAAGAGTACAAACAGCATTTGTGCAGGTGACTCCAGCATGACTAGACTATAGTTCTGCTAACTTTCTCAGGCAATTACAGTTCGCTTTCTTCATCAGATCATAGGAATCAACTCATTCCCCATCTTTGCCTGCTCCATGAAGTTCTCGATATAGGCTAGCCTACTGTATGGCTAGCTTACTGTAATTCATGCCTAGGTGCATGTGCTGCAGCTCTTAGCATCACCATAGTTTTTCCTCTAGGAATGTCTTCCTAGTTTGCGCCTGCTGCTATGAAGCAGTACAGAACTGATAAGGAAGAAGGGAGGAACATGGCTGTTTCTTGCTTTCCTGCCTTTGAAAGCTTTGTGGAATTCCTGCATGTTTCGAAGGTGCTTCCATACTAGTTCCAGTGACAGATCACCCATTTTTTTCTGATGGATAATATTTCTACCAGGAACCTCCCAAAGCCCACATTACCATCAGAGTCTTCTCATCTTTCTTTTCTTCCTCTTTCCTCTTCCATGTTGCAGAGGCCTTGCACTGTTTTTAAGGAACCATAAAGCCTTTTTGTTTCTTTTATCCCCCAAAGTGATTAATGCATCCAGTTCTCCCCCAGCCAGGGATGAAGAAAATACTATTATCCCTCCATTACTCACATATTGTGTTGCAACATCTCTTTTGGTAACGTTAGATCACAAGCAATGATATTATTAAAAAATGAGAATTTTACTCCGCACACGATGAAATCCAATCTGTATTTATTGCCTTTAACCGCCAGCCTCTAGAGTCATCCAGAATAAATGTTTTGAGTTCCCTGCAGGGAAACTCTGGCTTTTGCACTCCAGACATTGTTAATTAGACTGTACCAGCCCCCCAGCCCCATGTGCATACAGCAGGGATGTGTGAGTGACATTAATGTGACATCATGTGAAGATAACGTATGCCCATGTCTTACACCTCATTATGTCATGCCATGATGGACTACCCAGAATGCCCTGAATTGGCAAGAAGATATTTTTGTGTGTGCATGTGGGAGCACAATCTTTCTGCCTTAAAGAGTTTTTGGCAAACACCTGAGCAACCTCAGCACTGTCTGCATTGCTTGTAAATAGGAAATGCCTGCCAATAGGGAAGAAGCCAAGCATCTCATCTCCTCAATGCCTTGGAAAGAGACTACAAGAGTCAGAGGTGCATGCATAGTTTTGCTAAAGAGAATTTGTGACCTTAGATCCAGAAGCCACTGCTCTTATTCATAAGCGCAGTAATGTATAAAACCCTGGAGCCTGCTCTATCAGATCCTGTGCATCTTCTGCCACCTCCTCGTTATATCTTTATTTCACTGTATTTGATACTGTAAGCTATGGGCATGCTTTTTAAAGCAGCCAGCATGGGTCATGTCCAATAGGGTTTCTGAAGGCTAGGTCCCTATCAAAGGCAGCAGCTGGCCAGCTGCTTTCCTTAGTGATAACGAGCAGCTATACACAGCTCTCAGGACAGTGCAGTCTGCTAGCAAACTTGTGAACTGTTCAGAACATTTGGTTGGCAGGAACCTCAGGAGTTTCACTTATTTCAATTTACTAGCTAGTTGCATGGTCAGAACTTCATACAGTTGTTCCCCAATGCTCACTCTGGGATGCTGTAACTGTCATGTATACATCCTCCCCCAGCCATCATGGCAGAGAACCACCACTACTTTCTAAACATCACTGTTTCAAATGTTAAGGCCTTTCTCTTTGAAGATCCCATATTGCAGCTGAGTTGCCAGCTTGCTTTTACTTGCAGTGGCTGTTGCAGCACTGATTCACAAACACTTGGTGTTTTCCCTCCATCGCTTTATCTCTGTGCCAGCAGAAGCTTCACCTGGAAAATGTCTGCAAACTGTTGAAGCCTTTGTGGTAGAACAGTAAAAAAAGTTGGCAGCCTTAATAGTAGAGTGTCTCTTTCTTTTGACAAAAAGGGGCAAGGAAACCAAAAGGTCTGCTTCTTCCTCCGCCCACAGTCTCCTTTTATCATTTGTCCCATACTGTGGAATGTGCCAAGAGGCAGCTGGAAGCAAAACCAACTAATGCCCCTTTGCCATCATTACCTGGGAGTTGCATATTTTATGGAACTTTGAATTAGATTAAGGGCATGTCTTCACTGTAGGCCCACACTCCTAATTCATCATGATTACTTTTTTTGGAGGGGGGGGGACCTCTCCTGTATGTTTGGTGTAATTCTTGCATTGTCAAACTGAAAGGGAGGGAGGGGGATCCCTGCACAGACATGTCCTAAGTGCTCAGATCCATAATTTAAGCATTGACAAAGCACATTTCAAGAATTCAAAGCACTTTACATATACTATCTCAGTAATCTTTACAACAAGGCTGTAAAGGAAAGTCACTACAATTATATCCCCTTATTTCAGATTAAAGATTGAACTATCGTGGGTTGCCCATGCAACTAATGAATTAATAGCTGAGCAGACATATGAATTATGGGACCTCCTGGCTCACGGCTCACATGCTTAACTGCTTTGTTAAACTATCCCCATTATGGCAAAAGTAAATGTTAATAACAATCCGTTTTACACTGGATTTGTTAAACCATAGTTTGGAGGGTTATCTGAATGCTGCCAGCATGATCTAGCAAAATGTTCACTTGTGCAATGTTCACATACCATACCAGGGAACCAGGCAGAGGGCCTTCTCGGTAGTGGTGCCTGCCCTATGGAATGCCCTCCCATCAGATGTCAAGGAAATAAATAACTATCTGACTTTTAGAAGACGTCTGAAGGCAACCCTGTTTAGGGAAGTTTTTAACGCTTGCTGTTTTATTGTGGTTTTAATATTCTGTTGGGAGCCACCCAGAGTGGCTTGGGAAACCCAGCCAGATGGGTGTGGTATAAATAAATAATAATAATTATTATTATTATACTCAAGGGGTATGCTAGCCTGAGTTGTACTATTGGGATTTGCTTCTGAGCCATTATTTGGGAAGGGGTAATACACAACTCTGCATCACCTTTTATTTTATTTCTTTTTACTGAAAGAGAACAATTGTTCAAATGCAAAATTAAGATCTGAGACATTACTCAAGGAGCTCTAAAAATGAACATCCAAAATAGCTTGAGAGTGAAGTGGAGTGGAAAAATCAGTAGGAAGAAGGGCAAATCTGGGTGCAAAGTTGGTAGGAAGAAGAGTTAACTGTGAGCATGAGGTCAGCATGGTGCCATCTTGGATTTTTGTCAGCACACAGTTTTTGTAGTAATTTGCAGCTGTCAACCTCTGTCTTTTCAAAACGGCATTATTTGAACTGTGATAATGCAGGTAGTAGCCAATAGTTCCATGACGTCTGCTTTTGCTGATATTGCAGACCAGCTGCATGTTAAAGCAACTTCCACGTAGCAATGACCCACAATAAACCTGTACTGTAGGCAAGTCCTGACTTTGAAATCCAAAATTTGCAGGATAGATAGCAGCCGTAGACAAGGAGTCTGAGTCCTTCTGTCACATAGGGCCACCCATGCGATGAACTTCCTGTTTTCTGTTGGGCCTAGATTCAGCCAAACAGAATGTACACCAGATATGTTACAGCATGATTTACGGCCAGGAATTTAACAATTGCCTTTGGGTCTACCTGTCCTCGCCTGGAGCAACTGAGGGCTTTGGTTTGTACAGTTGCATCATTCTGCTGTTGCAAGCAGGCTTGAGAAGAAACAGCCATGGAAAAATCCCATAACATTCCACAGTTGGCCCAACCAGGCGCTATCAAAGCATTGCCCCCACTGCCTTCAGCTTTGAATCTTAATCCAATAGCTCTACAGGAATTTTCTAGCATAGGCTGGGGAAGTGTGGGGTGCGGGGGGTATGTGTCTCTGTGCACCAAGGCTTTGGTGAGCAAAGTCTTGTCCGTGGGATCTGTGGGTAAGGCAGTTATCTCTAACGGAGGAGTCTGTTTGGTACAGTCTGCCTCAGTCTCTGGGGCTCCAATACTTAGGATTTGTGGTTCCAAGTGTGTGTTATCAGGGTCAATCCAGGCATTCCTATTACCTGTGACCATCAGTGTTCCTTTAGGATAGTGCTTCAGCTTATCTAAGGCTCTGCTTATTACCGCTCTGTTCACCCATTTGCAATTGCTCTTTCAGTCACGTAGAGAAAATTACGTCTTCCTGTGGCCCTGGCATGTCACACACCATTGCTGAGCTGGAAAAGGTGCATCATAAACAAGTCATGTGTCCCTTGGCACAGGCAGGCAACAGGCAGGAATGGGGTTAGGTTTTGTTGCTTGTGAGTTAAGAACTTTTTCAATGGGGTGGATCAGTTTATTTGTTTTGATTCATACATTGGGCCTGGCCAGTCATTGCACTTGAGGGTGGAAAGCAGTTTAGTGCTAGTTGTTTTTCACCATCCCGTCTAGCATGTGCTATGCATGCTAGTTTTGACCAGGATGAGTATTAATTGATCAACATTTTATCCTATAGGTCTTGCATGGGACATGTGTGAGGAAATTTGGCCACAGACCCAGGTATACCTAAGTGGCAGTCCTGGCTTCCTTCACTGACATGCTAACTTACCATGTGCAGGAGTCTGGCATAAGGATCTATATAATAAATAAATATACGTGACAAGGTCTGGTAATGCCTACTCTGATCTGATAACTGATTTGTCCATATATTGTATTGTATTAATAAATAATTTCAGGACTAGATCTGAGAAGCATGTCATCTCAACCAGACTGATTATTGAATATAGAGAACACAGGAAACGGCCATAAATAGGAAAGGACCAGCTGATTTGAAGCATATGATGCTCTGCTAGTGGGGCTTGGGTGGTTTCCTAGTCATTAAATAATTTTACAGAGGCAATGACAGTCCTCAATATCTTGTCAGTGACTGCTGGCTCTGTGCCAGCTCTGGAAACTATTTGTATTATTGTGTTTTTTGAAACTGCAAAAGTCCTTACAGTGCCTTTATTTTAGCCCTTAAAACAGGCTAGTGAGAACAAAAAATACCTTTCTTATTCAATTCAATTAATCAAATCCATATTTCATTCAGGATTCAAATCCAGGCCCGCTAGGCCCAAGTCAGGGCTCGATTTAGATGAAGAGAGGCCCTAGGCTTCTCCACGTGTGAGGCCCCTCCCCATACCCCACCCTCACAACTAGAAAGAAATGGAAGAGTGTTATAAACAAAATTGAGTGAAGCCAAGGATAATGATGGGTATTTAAAATTCTGCAATTCACAATTTCTCCTTTAAAGGACATAAGATATTATTGTTAAATGCCATGGTGATTTTTAAAAATGCATAAAATCAACACTGAAAAACTTTTGCAATAACTGAACTTTGTATGCTTTTTGTGACCTGGGCAGGCTGGGTCTTCCTGTTATATACCTGCTGGGATTGACAAGGCATCTGACCCTCACCTGAATCTCATAACTCTCCTGATGAGTTCTTTGGTCTGCCCACCAGATCAAAAGTAATCAATTTTAATCTAGAATTTAAATTTTCAAAACTTTCTTATTTGTTAATTCGAGCAAGTAAACTACTGCTCTCACTTCATTACAAACAGTACTTCTACCTGCAACACACTTGAGCAAACCTGTTCCTCTTCCTTTCACAGATATTTTGTTGCCATTTGCAACTGTAGCTGTCTCTGATTAGTTATCATTTAACCCTTGGGGAAAATAGTTAGCATCTCATGTCATGTGCATGGAAGTTGCCAAACCAATTAACCAACTAGAAAGATTACTGTTAATAGCACCAGTTTTCCTATATTGGTGGATAGTTTTGATGAACTGCAAAAGCATTTTTAGTTTGCTTTCTGTTGCCACCCTGGAACTTTTCTTTATTAGTGCCACTTTGTTTTGTTTGATTCATTGCAAATGAAGGGAAACAACTTTTCTGCTTGTATATGTTGATAATATAATTTTGGTTACTGAGGACAAACAACATTGTACAAAAACAAGATTGGGTGCAGGCCTGGCCAGGACATAGGCTCTCTGACTGTGACAAAGGTGACCTGTGTGCTTGTTTGCTTGCTTGCTTGCTTGCTTAATTAACAGCTGTTGGGAACTTCAAGGTCCCTACTCTCCCTTCTTATGGTCTTTGTACTGAACCTGGAGACTCCAATAGAGAGCATTCCATGTCAAGAAGGAGGGCAAGTGGGCACCCTATCAAATGACAGGGCAGGAGCTACACAGAGCAGGGCCCTTTCACTGGTGTATGCCTCGCTCTTCCCAGACCTGCTCTCTTTTGGCCTGTATTTTGAAGCTTTATAATTTAGGAAGACTTTGGAAGAACTGGTTGACAAGTCTTATCAGTCACTGACGCATGAGCGGAATTTATTTGCCGCTATTCTGGGCTTCTGGTGCACCAGGGTTTACACCAGCGTAATAGAGTTGACCAGGATGCCAGAAGGGATACAATCTATGAGCTTTCTCCATTATCTGCACAGCAGGGGGTGTTTAGTCGACAGTGCAAAGGCTGAGCTGAAGCATTCCCTGCTGGTTACCTGCTTTCAGCAATAGGGGTCGCTGTTTGGTAGTACCCAATTGGTTAGCTGTCAGATTCTAGAGCTTCCTATTGGTGACTCTTAGGCAATTCACAAAACACAGAGTCCATTCATAAAACACAGTGTTCATTCATAAAGCAGTAACATAAATCTCCATTGCTACATACAGTCATACCTCGGGTTACAGATGCTTCAGGTTGTGTGTTTTCAGGATACGGATGCACCGAAACCCGGAAGTACTGGAATGGGTTACTTCCGGGTTTCGGCACTCGCACATGTGCAGAAGCGCTGAATTGCAACCTGCGTGTGCGCAGACACGGTGCTGTGGTTGTGGACGCTGCAGGTTGCGAACATGCCTCCCGCACGGATCATGTTCGCAGCCCGAGCATCCACTGTACTGGGTGTATGTTTCAGCAGTTGAATGTACAGGTTTATGGTCATGCTGTAGTGTAGTGCTTATGCGATTGTGAATAAAAGGTGGCTGGGCTCATTGTTTTGGGGTTTGGGGGGAAGAGTTGACAAAACTGATTTCCAGTAAGTGCCCCCCCCCTTTATTTCCTTGAGTCTGTACTCTGAATAGTCACACTAGGGACCTAGAAGGTGCAGGGCTTGTCAGTCCAACCCCTGCACAGTCCCATCAGGGCTGACCTTAAGCCAATTGGAGCAATTTGGCCAAATTTGGCCCCATGTGCCGCTCCTAAGGGGGCCCCTGCACCAGGGCAATCTAGATGGATTTTATTTATATCTATAAGATTTTGCAGACTTTGGCTGTGAACTGGGGGGGGGTCAAGTTGCGCCCCACTGCTTCAAATTGGGCACCACTGCCTAGCCCTGAGACTCATAGTTGCTGGGCCTGAGTTGACCTGCCCTTGCATGAAGTCTTGGGTTTACAATTTTGGGAGAGGGGAGACTGCGGCACTGGGGAGCAGGCAGGCTGGCAAAGCCCCCTAGATTTAGAGGCCTTAGTTGCCCTGCCCTCACATGAAGTCTTGGGTTTGCAATTTTGGGAGAGGGGAGACTGTGGCACTGGGGAGAGGGCAGGCTGGTGAGGCCCCCTAGACTTTGAGGCCAGAGTTGCCCTGCCCTCGTATGAAATCTTGAGTTTGCAATTTTGGGAGAGGGGAGACTGCCTGCTGGGGAGCTGGTGGGCTGGCAAGGCCCCCTAGATTTAGAGGCCCTAGGCTTCAGCCTACTTAGCCTATATATAAATCCAGCACTGGCCCAAGTCTAACATGTACCTCACACAACAACACCCCCTCCAGTTCCACAAAGTTTGCTCTTTTCCTCCCTCTGTGCCGCTGTCTTCAGCTCCATCCCCTGCTTTCAAGTGATCCTAAATTACCAGAGCTACATTAAAGGCTGTACTCCCAGAGGACATCCTGCAATTACTTACTAATACATTTCCTCAAACTCTTGCTCTGGAATATCTCATAGCAGTCTGACAGAGATATATTCACCCCTAAGTTCTCTTTATTGTCCACAGCCGCTGTTCTGCATAGAAGATTTTTGAAATACAAAAGGTTAACAAGACCACACTTAGAGCTCACATTTGGCCAGTTTGAAGCTCGACAAGAGGCATTAATCCTATAACCATAGAACTGTAGAGTTGGAAGGGACCATGAGGGTCATCTAGTCCAACCCCTTGCAATGCAGGAATCTTTTGCCCAACATGGGGCTCGAACCCATGACTCTGAGATTAAGAGTCTCATGCTCCACCAACTGAATACAGAGCAAAGTTAGGAATTGCTGTTCTCTCCCTCCTGCAGTGTTGCAGAGAACTGGCAACACTAGTTAACCTGGGCTTTTGTATAGCAGAGTATTGCATGACCTGAAAGATGTTATTGAGGATCACACCTAAAAAAGAGGATACAACATGTCTCCCTCCACTACCCACCCTTCCCCAAGTATTTCAGCACACACACACACCCCAAATAGAACTCATGCTTTGGCCCAGAGCAGGTAGGAGAGGAAGAAAAGGGGTTAAGGGAGAAGTTGGGCAGGGGAAGCTGTGGCTATACCCTCTTCTGCTTCTGAGTCACTGTCAGAGAGGCTAACATGATCTCCAGAGTGTGACATGGCAACCCTACGGAAGAGACCCGTGCTGTTGCTGCCTCCATCACCTCGTCTGTTAGCTGCCCTGACACTGAGGAAGTGCAGATCACTGTTTATTACTGTGCACCCTAGGTCTGACATTTAGACACTGCCAGGGCTGAGAGAGAGAGAGAGAGAGAGAGAGAGAGAGAGAGAGACGCTTGTTTTCTGGCTTAATTTATAGAATAGATTCACTTGATGAGTCACTCTGCAACTTGATGCATTCTGTCTAGATAAATGATACTTTTTATCCCTATGATAAAAGGGGATGCATGTGATATCAAAATAAAAGAATGTTTTCTCAGCCGAATAAAAGTTGAAGTTGAGTAAAAACATCCCAAGAAAGCTGGAGTTTGGAGTCTTTACCATTTATAGTGAAAATTATCAAATGCCCTGATATATTTTTTTTCTCTCCCTGTCCTCCCAAACACAATACCAGCACTGTGTGTCACCTTGGCTGAGATGTGGAGAATGGTCGTTTCTGAGACACCTTCTAAGTATCGCTGGCCAGATGTACACACCAACTTCCATTCCGTGCCCTTGCCCAGTTAACAGGGCTTTGCCAAGCCTCTGGACAAGTGTCTGTGCAAAGTGCTCTGGAAACACCAGCTCAGTGTGCTGCAGTTATCAAAAATGTCAGCACCAAACAACCAGATAGAAAATTGCCAGTAAATTTATCACAACGCCACCTTATGAATGGTATTCTTCACACCTTGGCTTCTGTGAACAGTCCAAGTCACTTGACCATTGAGATGATACGATAGAACTAAAAGGCATATAAAAGAAAAGAAGGCTGATTAACCAAAATATTCAGAGGGCTGCAATTACTTCTAAGTGTTGACAGATTGAAAAGATATGGGGTCCTTTTGTTAATCTGTAGTCTAGTTCCTCTGCATGCTCTACTCCATTTGTTTTAGTGGGTGACACTGTGTGTGTGTGGAGAGAGAGAGAGAGAATAAAACAATGTGCTTATTAATATGTCCTTTATTGCTGCCTGCACTGGGGTCACCACTCCCCACAGACGTGAAAAGAATAACTTGCTGGGTGGAGGGAGAAGGGGCAGTATGTGACACTCTGCTCTGAGTCTTTGGTCACAGATTGCAAATTGGTTCACTTTGTCCCATGTTCCCCGCATCTTTGTTGTAGGAAAGTAATATGAATAGAAATTATTAGTTATGGGAAGGGCTGTAGCTCAGTGGTAGAGGACATGTTTTGCACACAGAGAGCCCAAATTTTATTTCTTGCCACTTGTATGTTGGACTGGAAAAGGCTCCTGTCTAAAATCCTGGAGTAACTGAGCTGGATGGGCAACCAGTGGTCTGACTCTGTAGAAGGCAACTTCCTAATGATATAAAGGGAGAAGGTGTTATCCATCTAATCAAAATTATCAATCTGCAGATTTAAAAGAAAGTACTTTTTCCACTCGACATGCACTCAATCCTTAGAGCTTATAAGCAACCTAGGATGCTGGGAGGCACAGCTGGGCAACATGTGGCGCTCCAGACTGAAACCAAGGCCCCCACCAGCTACCCATTTGGGACTTTTTGATTTCTCTGCCAGCCTCAATTGCAGAAGCAGGGCAGGGTAGCGATTACTGAGTGCTTGGCAGGCTGCATTAGGCTTGGACTTGGTGGATCACATGATGGACAGGCCCACTGTAAGATGGTTAATATGTGAATTGGTTAAAGAACAACAAACTATGCGTTATAAACTTGTAAGTAGTTCTCCTAAGATTAGTTACTCTGGAAATTCCTTCGCTTTTAAAATTCCCTCGAAAATCTCTACATCTGAAGAAAATAAGGAATACAAAGAAAATGACATTGTGGGAGATTATTGCCTGGATGACCTCTACAAGCCTACCCATTGAATTTAAAGAAAAGTTTGGATTTGAATCCAGATCTCAATTCCACGCATTTTCCAGCAGACTGCATTGGTTCTTTCTTTTTCTTTCCTTTTCCTTTTCAAATTTTTTTTTTGGGGGGTGGGTGATTCTTAGTGCTTTTACTGATAAGCAGAAAAAAATAGAAACAACAGGAACAAACTCAAATCAGGAGCATTGTCACAAAGTTACTAAGTCCACTTTTTAATTAACTTTCTGTTCCATCTACTTTTCACTCCAAAGTATCCTTCCACAACTGTCCACCCATTATCAGTGACTGACAATCATTGCCTTGTTTCAAAGCAAATGAAATGAAACAGTAGCATGTGGAACCAAGGTCTTCATTGGTGGTTTGAGTTCTGAGTTCTTTCTTTAAAAAAATAAAATAAAAATCTTTTCCACCAAGGCTAAGGTCCAAACCTGTTGATGCCATTTATCCAATGAGTTTATATTAAATGGGCTCCAGTGTCTAGCTACAATGAGTGTGGCTGCTATAAAAAGAAGTCAGTAAGTTCTTATACATCAGATCTGCAGCCTCATTTTCAAAAATTGACAGCAATGCTACCTTGGGATCCAGTTGTATTGCTTGGGTTGTCATTGAGCCTACTATTCTGGGGACATGTACCCCAAATTTTTCCAACATAATAAATATCTACCACATGTGAAAATATGTACCCCACTTCCCACATCCCCTCCAACATGACACATTATTGTTATTGGTTATTATGCTAAGAGTGTGGGGTGAGAGATGCCATTGATGCTTTATATTTATAATATTTTCCCGAATTCGTGCTGATGCCGACTTGAATGGTGATATCTCCCAATGGCGTTGGTTCTACAAGCAGTTTGTACCGTGCAAAAAAGTCACTGTTAACCTGTAAGCTTGCTCAGCCCAGACCCTAACTTTCATTAACTTTTCTGAGAGCACCACTTTACCTAGATAGCTGTGGGAAACAATGGATAAGAATCTGAAGGTGGGGGGTGAAGTCTGGGAAGGGATAAACCCACTTCACCTGGATGAAAACATTATGAAGAAGGGAGGTGAGCACAGACAGCAAGAAATAAAAAAAGGAATAAATTCCAGAGATGTAGACCTGCCTTGCACTGTGGAGAAGAAACAGAATGTTGGCAATTGCACAGTTATACTCGCTGAGTTGGAACCATAAACTCCAAGAAAAAAGGAATGAATTAAACAGAACAAGAGCCGAGGGATTTTAAATGCTGTCTTAGAGGTTACAGTAGATGCCTCATAAATCTAAACAATTAGGAGATGCAGTAAAGAGGCCCAGCCCAAATGTGTTTGGATATGAAGCTATGAAGCTGGAGGCATAGAAAAACAACCTCACTCGTAGAGCTCTCAAGCAAAGCTGCCGCATTCGGACAGTAGTGTGTCTTTGCTTGCTAGATGCCCTTGAAGTTTTATGTAAGAAAAGGGCAGAGAAAATGGCACAGAAGCAAGAATTAACCAATTGCCAAAAGCATAAGTTGTGTGGAACAGAGAGATGTGATGAGTCTTTGAATCCAGGATAGAACTGTGTTGATTAGAAGGTGCCTCTACTCTAGAAGAAGCTTCTTGCTACTTCATAGGAAAATCAGGGTCTCAACGCTGCCCATGAGAAAAACACCAGCATGCTTGGAACAAACTGATCTGGGCACGACTAAGCCTAGCTGGCTGAAGTAATTCTTACATGTGCAAGTTGATATTGGCATATATGTATTTGTTCTGTACACTTGGATATGGTCCAGCAGATATCCTGTATGACCTGAAACTTGGAGTCTGTGGTTGAAGCTTAGCTCACAGGGCTTGCTGCAAAGGATTTACTTTAAGTTTTGCATGTGTATCAGATGGCAATTGACTTTTAGGTCTCTGTGTACACTACAAACTTGTATCAGTTATATGCCACTAATTGCCATGGCTTCCCTAAAAGAAATAAAATTTAGCAAGGTACTGATGCTGCAATACTAAAGGTAAAAAGTTAAAGGACCCCTGAACTGTTAAGTCCAGTCAAAGGCGACTATGGGGTGCAGTGCTCATCTCACTTTCAGGCTGAGGGAGCTGGCGTTTGTCCACAGACAGCTTTCTGGGTCATGTGGCCAGCATGACTAAACCGCTTCTGGCGCAACGGAACACCGTGATGGAAGCCAGAGCACACAGAAACATCGTTTACCTCCCCACGGCAGTGGTTCCCATTTATCTACTTGCACTGGTGTGCTTTCAAACTGCTAGATTGGCAGAAGCTGGGACAGAGCAACGGGAGCTCATGTGGATTTGAACCACCGACCTTCCAATCAGCAAGCCCAAAAGGCTTAGCAGTTTAGACCACAGCTCCACCTGCTATACTAGGCTCAGTTACCAAGGCATAAGCTCCACTAATCACATTTTAGTAGATATGCATAGACTAAGCCATTAGAGTCTTTGCTAAACACCCCTAGCTCCTACTTCACCCTGAACTACTTTTTGTGGATAATCTGTGTAAAGATGATTATTATTAAACCATTTAAAGTGTGTAGTATAGTTCCTCACTTGTAAAACCCAAATACTAATTCATATTATGAAGTTGATATGAAACTCACAGATAGAGCAATCAAAACCCCAAATCTGAAATGCCAGCGATGGTTTGGATGAAGTAGAGGTGTTGATGAAGTAGAGGTGTCTTTCCTCCCAGAGACCCCCAGCCCTGTCTGACTCCACCAGCCCTGCTGGCAAGGAACACCTCTACCCAGATCTGCTCAATTCCACCAGCCCTGCCAGCAAAGAGCATCCCAATGCACAGACAGAAACTACTGCTGGAGGCACCCGCACTGGCTGTAGCCAATGGAACCACACACACCCTAGGACATTTTAGTGGAGGGAGCTGGGCTACCACAGGATCTGCTGGATGATGATGGTGATGGTGTCTTCAGCATGTGACAAAAAGTACATAATGAATGTATCCGATGCAATCCTGTGGGGAGGTAATTCCACAGCTTGGGGATTGCCATAGCAAATGCCCTCTCCTAGGCAGCTCTCCCATAAGCTTATGAGGATGATGGAACTACCAAGAGGGCTCCCTCTGCTGAACATGAGAGGGTCCATGGGAAAAGAGGCAGCCTTTCAGATATTTGGGGCCCAAGCCATTTAGGGCTTTAAATACTAATGTCAGCATGCTGAATTGGGCCTGGAAATGAAATAATGCTGAGCTGGCCCTGCTGCCGTCATGTGATGGCAACAGTTCTGATCAGGGTGTCTTCATTGTAGGAACAGCAAAGGGACATTATTTTACACCACACCCACCTTCTGCCCTGGGTGGTGGCAGCAGTGGGACTGTGTCTATAGTGCTGGCAGTACCGTTCAATCAAGCCCCACTGCTGGTGGTCAGGAGTTTAGGAATGCATGCTATCTATATCTAAGAATATAAGTAAATACCTAAAATGCAGTTGTATTATTTTATCTTGCTCTAATTTTTCCTTGTTAGGGTAGAGAAGACTATCCTTCATTAGTTCACTGGTTCTCTGCTAGCTTGTTTGCATGTAAGGGCACTATGAACAATCTCTCTTCTTATGAACAACTTACTGATCTTTTGCTTTTCTTTTAAACCTCGCTTTCTAACCTACTTGGCACAATGGTTAACCCTGCCCATTGCTAGGGAATGCTGAATTCAAGAAGGCTTGAGAAATGTCTTTAACAGCCCACCTCTCTTGGGATTAGCAGAAGCTACATACAGGAAATGCTGCTGCCAAGGTCATTTTTGCTACTTGTGAGGCCTGAAGCCTACCTTGCCATAGGCTGCCACAGGCATCTGATGCGATGTGGATTTGTTTAAGGAAGCTTAAAACCAAATCTGGACCTTCTTTTTTCATTGACTCTTTCCTTCTATAAATTCAAACACCTTGAGGAGAGTCTGCCTGTGCAGTCTTCCATGTGACATTTCACCCAAACCACTTACAAACAACTTGCGTTACTTACAAGTTTATTCATTCCTTTCAGAATGTTGGCTCAGCTGTGCGTCTCCAGAGCCATCTGTTGCGGGTGAGCAGCTTATCTCAGCTATCAGAGCCCTCTTCTAAATATTATGACCAAACAGGATTCCAAGAACAACAGCCATCCTGTTGCACAGAGAATGCGCAAAAGCCGATAAACTGTTTATACATTATCAGCTAAATAAGTTGGGTTTATCTGGAAAGGCCTGCATAAAATCCCTGATGCTGGTGGCGAGGAATTCTGCTTGCCGTTACTGTTTGGCAGGGCAAGCTCTAGTGGCAGTGGCTGTTTTGTGCCCTGTCAGTCCATGGAGCTTTCCATAAATCCAGCCCTTCTCCGCATTGACAAGGGGATTTGAACAGGAAAGCCAGCCAGGAAATGAATGTGGGAGAAGCATGGGACCTTCCGTAGCCAGAGAAAAGGATAATCTGGGTGAGCAGGATGAAGAGAGGTAACGTGAGCAACAGAAACATGGCATAAGGTAGGGGTTTTACCAGCAGCAAAGGACTGATAGAAAGTGTGTTGTATTCTGATGCACTAGATCCAACGTGTACTGTCCCCTTCAGAACAACCCAGACTTCCGATTCCCCTCTCTTCCACCTTAAATTAGAAGACTTCTGTTGCAGCCCCGGGTTAGGAAACCTACCAGGGTTGTTTGCAGCCTTGTAAATAAATCAAAGGTAGTGTATCTCTGAACACCAGGTGCTGAGGAGGAGCAGCAGGGAGAGGGCTGTGGTCTTCATTCATTCACCCGGTGCTATACCAGCTGCACTGGCTCCCGGTGGAGTACAGGATCAGGTTTAAGGTGCTGGTTTTAACCTTTAAAGCCCTATACGGCCTAGGACCCTCGTACCTACGGGACCGCCTCTCCTGGTATGCCCCACAGAGAAACTTACGGTCTTCAAATAAAAACACCTTGAAGGTCCCAGGCCACAGAGAAGTTAGGCTGGCCTCAACTAGAGCCAGGGCTTTTTCGGCTGTGGCTCCGATCTGGTGGAACACTCTGTCACAAGAGACCAGGGCCCTGCGGGACTTGACATCTTTCCGCAGGGCCTGCAAGACAGAGCTGTTCCACCAGGCCTTTGGCCAGCCTGACTCCCTCCCTCAGCAATCTTCGCGGAGCTCTGGCCCAATGGTTGCCAGTGGCTTGAATTAATTAATTTTATAATGAATGATTTTAGAGTGTTGTTTATGCTGTACTTTTATACTGTTTTATTGTTGTTAGCCGCCCTGAGCCCGGCTTCGGCTGGGGAGGGCGGGATATAAATAAAATTTATTATTATTATTATTATTATTATTATTATTATTATTATTCAAGTCTTGCTTGTGGGCTTTCCAGGGGAATCTGGCTGGTCTAACACAGTTGGAAGTAAGATGGACCTATGGTCTGATCCAGCAGGTCTGTTCTTATGGCTATGGAGGATGGGAGTGTAGAGGGCAAAATACTTACTTTTTTATATGTCACAAAATTTATATATCACTTAACTGAGAAAGTAGCTCAAGTGGTTTACATAAAAAATCTAACATATTCATTTAAAATACCAATAAAACCAAAGGCTAAAATTAAAATAAAACAATGCCTATCAAAGTTAGAATCATAGAATCATAGAGTTGGAAGAGACCACAAGGGCCATCGAGTCCAACCCCCTGCCAAGCAGGAAATTCAGTTATTCAGCTGTTGATACCCTCTTGGATTTTGCTACCTTTTGTTAGTCCATTGTCATATAGGTTCTGTTCTCATACATAAAGCAGCCTTATACGGAATGACGGCATACCATTGTTCCATTTTGCCTTTTGCTCCACCTTTTCTCTGAATACTGGGAGCTCTCTTGTATTCCTTGCCATGCTGCTTGAGATCCTTTTAAAATTGAGACACTATGGATTTAAATTGTGACTTGATGCATCTGAAGTATAATATGCTCAAAGACTGAGTACAGAGTTCAGTTGTAATCTAGCCAGCTAGGTATATGAAACAGAGGAGAGGACATTTCCAGTAAGCTGCAAACCAAAAGGGAAGCATCTTTTTAATCTAAGAGTCCAATCTTAGAGTTATTTGATAAACAAGAAATGTTGTTTGATAGCAAGGGACATGGGCATAGCCAGGATTTTTGTTAGGGGGGCAGAACCTCAGCGATGCATTTTTTATTGATTTTTATTGATGGGGGGGGGGGGAGGCAGCTGTCCCTCCTTGGCTATGCCCATGGCAAGGGAGGGATTTGCTGGATTCTGAAACTTCTGTTATTTCAGAAGCAATCAGTGAACCAATATTCAGCATCAGTGTGAGTTTCTTTCTTTCTTTCTTTCTTTCTTTCTTTCTTTCTTTCTTTCTTTCTCTGTTCAAATTGTTTTAAGGCAGAAATTGTTAAATGATCCACTTAGCCTAAGGGACACATAAAATTAACACAAAGAATTGCAGGATCCCATTCCTCCAGAGTGGTAGTGCAGGGAGAGAGTTGGAAAACACATTAAAAAAATATAGTTACAAGTTTTCCACATCATCACCCGTCTCAAGCTGTTCTTTATTCTGTACAGAAAACACCAGATCAAGTGTTCCCAGTTTGGAAGGGTAAAGATTTCCTATCTCCTCCTAATCTGCAAAACACAAACTCTATCTCTGCTATTCATGTCTTCAGAATATGATACTTAACAATGGATATCTGCTAATGATGCTTACAGCAGAACACAGTGTTGTTCTCTGTCTCATAGACAAATGTGCTCTACAGGGCCAAATGTAGTAAAATTATGTAAAGGGAGCTAGTGTCATTCAAAGAGCTGCAGACAAGGCAAAGAGACCCTTTTGCAAAGGAGCCATGCTAATTTTACATTTTTTTGGAATAAAAGTGGTGTAATTATACAATAGGAATAATACAGCATGGCTGCATACTGCACCCTTGTTAATGCTTACCAGTAATCCGTTAATTGGTTGCAGTTTTCTTAAGGCTGGTTCATATATGAACACTTATCATTTATTGATTGCAGAATAAAGTGATAACCTGCTTCTGTTATATTCCATATACTGCAGAGGTGCACTTAGCCAGTACTAGAAACTGGGCTTTTAGTGTTGCAACTCCAGCTCTCTGGAATCAGCTACCAGCTGAAATCAGTCAGGTACGTCCACCATATAGTGTGTACACAGCCTTAGTTCAATACTCTAAACCAATATACCACACTGACTTTGGGAAATGAAAGACCTTGGTTATTCACTCATTCTCGGGCTCAAGACTTCATCACCACAGCAGAGGAGTGATTAGCACTCACATATCTGCTGAGTAACTCCTTTAACAGTATGTGGAGTGTTTCTTAGTGTACATGAAATAGGAAATGTTTGGTATTTGGGAGGGAAAATGGGCAAGACAGGAGCCACAGCATCTCTGATAAAATTCCCTGGGCATTTTTCTAATCATTCACAGAGGAATGTGCTTCGAAGTTTCCAGCTCACAAAAGCTTAAAAGTTGTTTCTCAAATCCCACTTTATTGGGTTTGCATGAGTTTTCAAAAGCTTGTGGATTTCAGGTTTGATGGGAAAAGGAGGAGCAGGAGGTTTAACACTGTCTGAATCCTGGGATCTTTTGGTATACAGAGGAGATTCACATGAAAAGCTGATGACATGGTAATAATGCCTCCTTGTGGGCATTATTATTGTGCAATAAATGTGCTTTCAGGTGTGTATCATACAAGCTACAAGGTACCAGGTAACTAGAATTAGCCTCAGCTATCCGTTGTTCTTTGTGGCATCTATAAGATGGTGTGCAGTATCTGCACAAGTACAAATCTATTAATCAGGTGCACAGGGCTGTGGCCCCAAACATTTTGGTATACTCCATGTACAGAAGCTGGATGGACTGGCTGTTGAATCTTACTTCACCTCTGACAATGGGCCAGCATTCCAGTGCACCTGAGGGCAGCCAAATTTAGGGGCACAAAGGCCAAGTACTGCAATCTCCAGCAGAGGGGTATGACGGATGAGGTATGGAAGAAAGGATAGGGGAGGGGATTTAGCCATTGCTGCTCCCCAGTATCTGCCACCTAAGGCAATTGGCTCACATTGCCTAATGGTATGGCCAGCCCTACAGGTGCACAGTGAATGTGCTGCTGCTGTATGTTGGTTGTACAAGCAGTTGCATAGATCACAGCATTGATAGGCAGAGTTGCTTATGCAATTATTAAATGAGTATCTGCTCTGAGCTAGGGACAGTAGTGATGTGATATAATCTTTGAAGAGATCTAAGCATGAAAAATACCAAGGAAACATTCACCCATATTATCTTGGTTTAAGGCAGGGATCAGCAACCTAAGGCCCATGGGCCACAAGCTGCCCACGGGGGTCATTTAACCGGCCCACGAGCTGCCCCTGAACCGATCAGCCTGATTGGCGAGTCCCCACGCACTGCGCTAAACCGGTGCGGTGCGGGGACTCGCTTCCGTGGTGCCGGAAATCTTGTCTGCGCAGACGCCAGAAATCGCGGGTGCGCGTGCTCACACACATGTGTGATCCGGCCCGTGGAGGGATCTCTGCTGGAGTGAACCAGCCCAGGCAAGGTAAACCTTGCCGACCCCTGGTTTAAGGTTTTGGTTTTGGTTTTTTATAAGTAGCACAGTGCTTGGTTCTCTCTCTCTTCCTTTGTCTCACTTCTGTCCTGCCCTCCCTACCAAAGTGCTCAATGGAGCCCATTATGGAGCCATTTCCTTTCTTTCCTCACAACAGTCCTGTGACGTAGTTTAGACCACAGAGATAGTGACTGCCCAAGGCCATCCCATTTATCCATAAATCATTGGGCCTCCATGGGTTTCTTTTGTCCAAGCCACTGCGCCACACAGCCTCTCTCTTTTTACTATTGCTGGAAAAGGAGACAGCTTTGCATTGGGATTATTCCCTGGGCTTCTGTACACAGCTGTCTCATGTTTTAGAAATCCTTCCACACACTGCAGCCAGATAGTCGCCTGTGAAGTGCTCCAGCTGCATCATTCTTAACTTCAGCCTGGAAATATATGAAACTGGAACTAGAATCTCAGTTCCTCTGTTCCAGCACCTGGGCTGCTGGAAAGTTCAGAGCCAAATCTGGATGCTACAGCTTGGCCAACTAGGTCTCAGTGTGGGTGGCAGATATTTACTTTTGCCCCATAATGTCAACACTTTCCTCCCCAGACAACCCGTAATAACATTACTTAGTATTTTTATAGCTTCGCATAATTTTTCAGTACTCTTTGCAACAATCCTGGAAGGTAGGCCAGTATCATTATCCACATATTATGGGCCAAGTGATGGCTACTTAATTTGTTTGAACCAAGTATATGTTATATGCTACCTTAACCCTATAGTTGTCAGGCTTACTGAAGGACATCAAGTGTCTAGGAAATTAGAAGATGTATGTAGTTGCTTACAGAGCACACATGCAGAAGCTTTTATTAGTGCTAAAACAGGAGAATGTGAGTGGTGTGGGGCAAAGCAAAAGGGAACAGATCCTCTCTTCCTACTGCATCATGCAACCACTTGATATGCCACAGGATCAAAGAGACTGTGTGGTGTGTGTGGTGTGTATGTGTTGTGAGTGCAGTACAAGCCTGTAAGAACAAGAGCATATGTAGTGACCATTTTCACTATGATCACTGTTGCAATGCAGCAGTGAACAACTTGAAATGTGGTCCTCAGGCTGAAAAATTTAGTTACCCCTGAAATAGAGTACAGTGGTACCTCAGGTTACAGACGCTTCAGGTTACAGACTCCGCTAACCCAGAAATAGTACCTCGGGTTAAGAACTTTGCTTCAGGATGAGAACAGAAATTGTGTGGTGGCGGCGCAGCAGCAGCGGGAGGCCCCATTAGCTAAAGTGGTGCTTCAGGTTAAGAACAGTTTCAGGTTAAGAACGGACCTCCAGAACGAATTAAGTTCTTAACCCAAGGTACCACTGTACATAAATTGCACATTGTGTTCTAGAGGCATCACTTCTGCGGATTTATATATATATAAAAAATTTAAAACTTGGATAGGTTGCTTCTGGATGACCTGTTTATTCAACATTTATCCAGATCTGCACAAGTTTGCAGAGTGGTTATATGACATTCGCTACCAGTCACTGATTCTGTTTTGTTTTCAAGGAAATTATACGATGTCATGTCAAGTAATTATGATGTCATGTCAAGCAGTTCATTTTTTTATCATTTTCCTCACCACAAAAAGTGATTTATTTACTTATTTTGGAAATACGCTTGTTGTGAAATAGCGCCAAATCCACTTTAATTATGCAACTGCATATGCTGGTATGCCACTGAATCTCCCCATAACTTAGCAACAGTCTGAAAGCAGCCTCTGTCTCTGGCCATGTAGGGTGCTTCCAGATGTGGATGATTTAGCAGCACTCAGTTGTTGTTCTGCTTTAAGCTGGATGCGGAATAGCAACTCTGCTTCCAGACATCTAATGCTTTGTAGCCAAGTGGTACTCCCCTTTTCACCATCTCCAAATGTTAGGAGGTGATTTTCCTTGGTGAGTTGTATGGTGAGGGTTAAAAGGGCTCCTACCGTCACATACTCCTTCCCTCACTGCGAAGTAAAGTGGGGGAGAAAAAAAGGAAATAAAAGAAATGATATTTGAATTGATCCTAACACTTTCCTTTCCAAAGAGTGCAGAGATTGACCATAGAGAAGGAAATAGGTATAACGCAATCTAGAACATAGTGGGCAGAGAAATCTAATCATCCAAGATAGCAGCTTAGGAGGCCATGCACACCTGGGGAAATTGTGCAGTTATTCTGTAGTGTTAAGAAGTGGACATTCTGGCTTCTGGGAAGGAAACAGAACCTGAACAAAGAAAATACAAGAGGGGTGTGTTTTGTGAATGCTCTATAAAACGTTAATGGGCTATTCTATGGCGTGGAGGCAGTTGTAGGTTGCATGCATAGATTCTAGGATTCTAATGGGCATATATTCCCTGTTCTACACAAGGCTCCATTGTGCAAGGAAGTCCGAGACCTGCGGCAGTCCTAGTTGTGGTATTACTGTCCAGCTTTACAGCATGTGCTGGGATCAAGGTAATGCAACGTTCTTGGCAGCAGAACTGCTGGATTGTTCAAGTCCCTTGTGGCCACAGGATTAGGTAAGCAGCCAAAGAGCAGAAGCTGATGTAGGTCTGTGTGCTAACTTCTCCCATCCCCAACTCTCCCTCCTACAATTGTTTGCTGTCCTTGGGCTGTTTGTGTTGGACTATGAGCACTGTAAACAACTTTTAAATAACAACAATAAAAATCTGGGGTTTAAGGAGTAAGGAAAGGAAGAGTTTTAAAGCAGCTGTCAAACATAAGATGGAAGCATTCAATTCTGACACAATCGTATTCATGCAGAGCAAGTGCCCTTCGAAGGGGCTCCTGGTTTTGCTGCTCAGGATCTTGCTGTATTCATGGCTTCATGTAATTAGTCCCACAACCTGATTTTCACACCAGGACACACTTCTGCAACATGTAATGCAACAGAAAATTAGCAAGGTCTTCTAAGCATGTGCAGAGAGAGGTCCTGACTCCTGCCCAACACACACAGACAGAGGCTTTTACTTGGAAGTAACAAAGAGGTTTTTATTCGGACAAGTTATGGTACAGGCTTGGCACCAGACACAGGGCTTAGGAGTCATGACGCAGGTGTTTGGGAGCAGGGCTTCAGAACTGGATGGATGTGACCAAGATGTCCCAACAAGCTTCTCTGCACCTCCCGCCAAGCTTTTATAAATGAGTTATGACACACTTGCTTGCAAGACTCTCTCGCCTTGTGGGAATATCGGGATTGCAGGCAAGTGTGCTCCATTGGGACCAGTGGGTCTGCTGCCATCTGCAGAGGCAGCATCTGGTTCTAGGTGACAAAACTGGACTGTCCTGTTCAGGCCCCTGTACAGTCACTACCACCACCTGTTCAAATTCCCCCGATATACCAAAGCCCCTCGCCACCTCCACTGCGAGGTTGGAGGAGAGAGCTGCCTTCCCAAAGCTACTGACGCTGGGATAGGAAGGGAGAGGGATCCCTCCTTCTCCTCCAACCCAGGCTCCTCCAGTTCAGCTCCATCCTTTGGTTTTTTTCTCCTCCTCCGTCAGAGCCTGCTACCCCAGGCCTGATCCGACAGTGCTGTGGGACTCATGACAAGTGCCTTTCCTCATCAGGAAAGTTAGTTCCCATACTGGAAGAAGGATATCCATGGCATAGGATGTGATTTCTGGATAAAGGTGATATTCCAGCACAATTTAAGCATTAATGCACAATATAGATCTGGTACAGAAACATGTCCCAAAGCCTAAGAATAGGAGCATGCTATTTGTTATGTAGTGTAGCTGTCTCTTTTTTTTTAGAGTATATGTGTCTTACGTTTATGATACCTTAGCCCACATTCCTAAGATCATTTAAACAGGGAGTAAGTCCCATGGGACTGACTTCTGAATAAACATGCTTAGGGTACATGCTCACATATACTGTTTTTTTGGATCTTTTTCTTTCTCATTGCATTGTATTCTGCGTGTGACAACCTCTTCACCAGGAAACATTCATTTTTTGTTCTGTCCATGTATACATATTTGTAAGTTTGTTTATAAACATCCCTATAAAAACAGGGAGAGAAATGGCAGTATATAAAATATGTTTTCCAAAATTAAAATATGTTTTAGAGTAGAAAAATGTCCATTTTAGGTGCAGGGGACACTAACTTTATAAATAAACATTTAAGATAAACATTAAGATGGCTACCTCGTTGTTCATATGCACTTGTGTGTGCACACCCGCTTTGAAACAGGCTCCCACACGGTAATTTTAAATAGCACAAAACAAGCAAATTCTCCAAATGCTATTTATACTGGCAGTGCAGTTGATGATGTCATTGCCGCAGCAATCACAAATTTTGTTTTCTCGCAATAAATGTGATGGTTTTTCCCATTAATCGTTCAGTACTGGTCGTGTTCTGTGCAAGACTTAACAACCAGCTCATGTTCTACTTTGGCTGGAGGCTCCCAGGGTCCTGTTCTCATCACCTCGCTTCACCCTCTGGCAGGCAGCTTCTGCCAAGGCAGGGCCCTCTGGCAGGCTGCCATATGATAGCTAGCAGACAAGCTGGGTACCCGGTTCAGAGCAGGGATATTTCATACGACTGAGAATGGCTGATCAGGTGCAGAGGAAAACAGGGCCACACCTCTGTGAGGTCTGGAGCTAGGCTTTGACAAATCTGTCAGTTTCTGTTTCTCTCACCCTCCCCATCTTAAGTTCATTTCACCCCATTTCTGCATACGTTTGCATATTTTTAAAATGTCAGCATTAAAATTTGTATGCATTTTAATCCATGTTTCTCCTAATATACTCATTTTTGTATACAATTTTGTCTAGTATATACATTTTTGCAAGCAATTTCCCCCTAATGGAATGCATTTTGTACATTGTTTTCCCCAATACAAGCTTCTGGGTGTGTGTTTTTCAGTAGTACAGCAATTTTTGTGCACACTCTTTGATTAGATAACTGCACTGCAAAATTCAAATTAGTGTGAATTTCAAAAGAGCTGTGTTCTGGTTTGCATGTTAGTTTGGGAAGTGCAAACTTAGGTAGGTTCAAATTAAAATGCGAGCAGAAATTTCCCACCCCTAGTCTGGACCACGATTGCTACAGAGTAGCCTAGACTGAACAGGAAACAGGAAGGCAGATGCTATGGCATCCCTTCTTTTCTAAAGTTCCACATTATCTCCTTGTCCTCCGCATGCCTTACTAAGAAATGTCTTTATTGTAGTGTATGAGCTTCACCACTAATGCTGCATTAATTCACAGTTACGATGTCTGTCTAGCCTTAACAAATTCTGCCCCATCCTTCTGGTGCCCATACACCACTCAGGGCCGCTTACTGCATTTCAGAATCACTGTACAATAAATTGTATTAAAATACAAGAACAAAACAATAAAAAATACATTGGGAGGAATTCAATTCAGCACTAAGGAAATTGCTCTGGCAGCACAGACATTTCTGCTTGCCTGATAGAATGATCTGTCCTCTCTTCCCTCTGTGTGCTGTCGGGGTGTGTGTGTGGTTATCCTGCCCCCCCCCAAGCAAATGGGGGCATGGGAGGCAAAGGGAAGAAAAGTGGGGGAAAGTTCCATTGTGCTAGTGCAAGTTTTGCATGGGCTTCTGCTGGCAGGGCTCCATAACTACACAACAGATAGAATACATAACATTAAAATCCATTTAAAAGCAACAATGGCAGAGACCACAGTGAAAAATGATCTTAGCAGGCAAAAGTCTTTCGGAATAAAAATGCTTTTGCCACATTGCCAAAAACAACTGGAGAGGAAGCCAAGGTATCTCACAATACTGGTGCACCCGCCGAAAAGGCCCTACAATGAAGCAATAAGGGGATCTGAGTAACTTAGGAAGAGTTTGTCTTAATTCTTTTTCATCAGTTAAGCTTGGAAAGCTTTCCAAGGACCTTAATTCCAGAGACACCACTTGGCCTCATGTGCCAGAGGTTTTGCAATCTGGAGACATGCATGTAGCACAGGCCTCACTGTGACCTATCCTACCATCTTTGTAACTGTTCACAAAGCATTTAATGCCAAAAATCTGTTTCTGTTTAAACAGAAATGCTCACTGCGGCAATCTAAAACCCCAGCTTTGTGGCATCTTGTTTTGCTGTGCAATGTTTGGTTATTCTCAGATTGGCATATTCCTGGAATAATGAAATGATGTTGTATTGTCTCATTGTATCAACATGTTAAACATATTTGTAAGATTTTTCAGGGGGTGGGGATGCTGTCATTATCAAGTCAAATGCCTTCTAGTGACGATATAATCCAGTGTTTTTGTATTCTCCCTAAGAAGCAATAAGTTTAAACCACAGATAAATAGGAGATCTTGCACATAATATGCTTAGTTCAAAAGCAATTGATTCCTCAAAGAAAAAATAATTTGCTACCAAACCAAACCAATTGATCTCCGACCTCCTATGTATGGCAGCTGTACTAATTCATTACTCATAAAAGGGCTTCAGATGTTATAATTCAAGGAGGAAGGAAGTATGAATGACTGTCACTTTCTGCTGTTTGGACCTGTTTGCATTGCATTTGTTTATTTATTGTTTGACTTGCATCTGTTTTCATGGTTCTTAAAAATGTATTCTATGTTTGTATTATTATTTATTTTAATAGTGTATTTGCTACTTTTCCACTCAAAGTACAGAAAGTGGTTAACATATACTCTGCCTAAACTATTAATCATTGTATTGTAAAACTACCTTGTGAGAAGACATTCTGAAAGCCAGTGTATAAATCCACAAAAAAAAAACCTTAACAGGACACCTAAGAGATGGTTGGTCTTAATGATTTTGTGTGTGCGCGCGTGTGTGCTTCTCAAATTCTTTTTTTGCATCCCGTGGTTTCTTCAAAACATTTTTTGGCCAATGTTTGTGTTCCTTTTTGTTCCCTTCATTTGGAAAAGGTTTCCATTTTTTGAAGGATACCTTCTTGTCTCTAATGGCTTCTTTTGACTCTGCTCATTAACCACACCAGCATCCTCTTGGCCCTCATGCTACCTTTGCTGATCTGTGGTATTCACTCCTGTTAAACTTCTAATATTGTACAGTGGTACCTCGGGTTAAGTACTTAATTCATTCCGGAGGTCCGTACTTAACCTGAAACTGTTCTTAACCTGAAGCACCACTTTAGCTAATGGGGCCTCCTGCTGCTGCCATGCCACCAGAGCACAATTTCTGTTCTCATCCTGAAGCAAAATTCTTAACCTGAAGCACTATTTCTGGGTTAGAGGAGTCTGTAACCTGAAGCGTATGTAACCTGAAGCGTATGTAACCCGAGGTACCACTGTATGTTTAAAACAGCTCCCAAGTATTTTGGAGTAACTTGGCCCTCTTGACTTTGACTTTCCTTTTTACCAATCCACTCATTTTGAGGAAGCTTCTAAAAGTTGCCTTAAATCCCAGAGAACTGCTGCCGGTCAGTGTTGATAATACTGAACTAGATAGATTAATGGGCTGACTTCCTAAAGCAGCTTTCTGTGTTCCTAAGCCCTCCATTAGTGAGGAACGCTCAACAAAGTCTTTGAAGAATAAATTAGACATGGTATTATTGGCATCTTTAGCTCTTGGTATGGATGCCCTTGAGGGAGGAAAATAGTGGGCATGCCCACCTACCACACTGTGTTTGCACCATGACAAATGGTTAAAGCACTCCTCCTGCCACCATGCCACAGGCCTGTTCTGGTGTCATCCTGTCCCACCATTTGTGTTTGTTTAATCCATACAAGGACTGTAGATGGGAAGCATGTCATATCTAATTTCACCCTCAGCTGACCTCAACAGATAGCAAGCTGCTATGTACCGTGTCAAACTATTTGCCCATGTGTATCAGTATTGTGTCTTTCCCAGCGTGGTGTAGTGGTTAAGAGTGGTAGTCTCGTAATCTGGGGAACCGGGTTCGCGTCTCCACTCCTCCACATGCAGCTGCTGGGTGACCTTGGGCCAGTCACACTTCTTTGAAGTCTCTCAGCCCCACTCACCTCACAGAGTGTTTGCTGTGGGGGAGGAAGGGAAAGGAGAATGTTAGCCGCTTTGAGACTCCTTAGGGTAGTGATAAAGCGGGATATCAAATCCAAACTCTTCTTTGCCATTACCTGTTGCCTGATTTTTCTAGCTAGCGATTGCGAACGGATAGGCCATTTATGAAAAGTTGTTCCATAGGATATATCAGATCCATAATCCGTAGGACTTTAAATGTTGTAAGATGCACTTGGAACAGAGCATGGAACCAAACAGGAAGATTGCAAACAGCAAACAACAACAACAACAACAAAGCAGCTATATATCTACCTTCACAAACCTACAAGTAACTGCACTGAAATTTCCAAATAGTGTTCAAGGGCACCCCACAAAGAGATCATTACATTACATTTAATAGTCTTGGTCTAGCCAATTATTAAATTACTCATGGTGAACTCAGTCACAAGATGACTGCAAAAGTAAAAAAAGGTTATGAATCCAGAGTAGGACTCTGGATTGTGAAGCCAAAGAGATGTTAGTTGGCAACAATTAGCTTCTATGAGACTTTTGGAGAAAGAGAGCAGAGAGAGATGGGACCAAGGAGCTGAGCAGCAAAGAGTTTTGAGAAAAACAAGGAAAAGGTCAGCAGAATAATATTTCTTTGCACTGATATAGTACATGTCAAGTGTTCAAAGCACTTCACAATCATTCTCTCTCATAATGACACTTTAAAGTAGGCTAGCATAATATTGCAGATCAGTTGGGGTATTCGTCTTAGTGAAGCCACATTTCTCTAGCAAATACCTAGCAGAAGTGAGATTTCAAATCAGGAATAGGTCACATTTTTAGTAATGGCACTGCACCAAGTTTACAGGAAGAATATGCTATTATTGTTTGATTCCAACCAGGCATTCAGCCATAATTTCCCAATTATTAATCACCTGAAGAACTGAAGCGCATACTTTCAGAAAGGTCCAGTGGTAAGTCTATGAAGAAAATCCCAAGTTATGCAAGATACCTCAAGACCCTGGACAGCTGCTGCCTACCAGTGTAGACAAGACTGAGCTAGATAGATCAATGGTATGATATATAAGGCATAGAGACAAAATAGATGCAACAGTACTGTTCATTCAGCAAGCTAGGTCCCAGCAGGTACTTTGAACAACAATGACTACCACTAGTTTAAGTGAGATGAACTTCTAGAAGCTTCAGGAGAAAAAGAGAGAGGGGGAAAATTTCTGTGATTCACTATGATGTCTGCACATGAATATTTTTACCCTGAAGGAATGCAGATGCATTTTTGCTCTGTTAGAGCACAGTTTTTAGCAGACCAGCAATGATGCACTGTACACAGACCATATTAAAACACAGTGTTCTCCCGAGAGTTTTCCACAGCATTTTCTTCTAAGTACTTGTTTTGTAATGGGCATTTTATTTGTTTTTGCAGAGACTCTAAATAGTACATGTCTCAAGAAAATCAATGTGCTGTTCCTTTATGGGCTGGAATGCATTTTATTAAAAGTCTCTGTATTTAGTTTTTAAAAAGTATTTGTTGGTGTGCTGGACCCAGTTCATCCCTTTTCAGAATAAAATACAGTCCACCAGGTAGTCCTTGGTGTTATATTAAGATGGAAGTTGGAATTCCCAGTTCTCAAAGTGGCCATGCATCATGTGAAGGCCAGTGGAAACAGGCTGAATGTTGCTCCACATGGTGATCAAAGCATGTAGAGTGTCCTAATTGTATGG